AACACACACACACACACACACACACACACACACACACACACACACACAGAACAAAGGACTGTTGCATCAACCTACCGATTTGGGAAGTAGGAGGGGATGACGGTGCGAGTGTGATCTGTGAGGCTTTGGCAGATTTTTTGGTTTTTTTTAGCTTAGGTATAAAGGTGAATTTATTTAAAATCTAAAAAATTTTCAAGGATAAGAAAACAAAAGAAAAGAGTTCTTTATACCTGGGGATGAGGAGAACTAAAAAGACACTTTACTGGGAGAGCATTGTCTTTCCAGATTGTTTTCTTTGGCTCCTCACAATATGTAGTGACTAGCATTTTGTGCTCTTCATAACCTGTTCTCAACAGGTTAAATAGAATAAATTAATATTGTTACTTCTGAAAAATAGACTTGCTTTTTAAATTTTATTTCAGATCATGAGTTTTGACACCTTGTGCATACTAAATGTGAAGGTACATTTTCTTGGACACTTTTTTTTTGAAAGCTTATAAGAGTTTATTTGAGCCAAACTGATGACAATTGCCAGGAAGCAAAATCTCAACGGATTGAGAAATTTTTGTTTACTATCTAGTATCTGTCAATATAGTAGTAAACTTTCTCTGTTAGGTTTGTACTAGGTTTCTCTACTACATGTAGATGGGCTTCTAACCCACATTCATGACAATATTTTAAATAGAAATTATAAGTTAAACAGTTTTATACCAAAATGTATCTATTGTTTCATGTACTAATTGGAATTTTTAAGTTATTTGAATTATAGCTTAAACCTGCAAGGGACTTATTCTAACAGACCTGGTCAAGGGCAGACGAGTGGTAAACATTTTATAGAACCAGGAAAAGCCCTTTTTGCATATTTTCTTTTCCATGTTTGTAGCATTTATTCATCTATTCAGCAAATATTTGTTGATCCACTAAACTATACATTAGCCATATGTTAGTGAGCCCTGCATACTTTTTAAGTATAATAAACGTCATTGCTTTTGAGAAAACAAAGCATTATGGTTTATGTCAATTTCATTTTTCAGTGCCAGCTCCTGTTGAACATCAGATCTGTCCTGCTGTTTGTGTTCTCATGAAACTTTCATTTGATGAGGAGCATAGACATGCAATGAATGAACTTGGTAAGACAAAAATGTTTTTTAATGCCATAGAAGAATACTGAAAACTTCATCATTGTTGAAATGGAATAGAAGGCTGCTAATTTCTATAACAAGTTGCTTCATCCTTGTAGCAAATAATTAAACTCTGGTTTCCAGAGGAGAAAAGTTTCTCAATGACAGAAACTGCTGCCCTGTTATAAACTAATTGGATTTTCAAAATCTCAGTTATAGACTGGAAAAATTACTACCTGGGCCACTCCTTGTCCCTAATGCTGAGGCAAGCTCTGTGTGACCGTGGACAGGGAGGGTGATTGGAACTGTTTTGAAATGTGGAGCTACTTCACTATTCTTAAACTCAATCATTTCTGATGGACACCAGAAGGAATTATTAAGATACTTATTTGTCTTCGTGGTTATCAGTACTTTATTGGACTTTCATGATAAGTAAGCAGCATGGTATCTTTGAAACTGGTTACTATGGTTACTATGCTGTGGTTACTATAGCTCTAATTTGAATCAGAAACATTCCATTAATTTTGGAACGATTATTCCTTTAGGTATGTATTATCACACACACACTAATCCTTCTATAACCTGCATTTGTGCACCCCATTTTTCATGTAACGGTTTTCCTTTGATTTCTAGGTTCATGTTGCACATGTGGTATTTATAAATTGCATCATGCTGACTGAGCCTTCTCATGTGAACTGGGTCTCTCTAGTTGTGCCACAAGCAAGACCATACACTGAGTTCCCATCTTAGTGTAGCTGTGCCCTGGCTTTTTGTGCTGTTTATGTTACATTGCATTCCAGCCCCCGCTTTGTATTCCTGTCACCCTTTTCATTATCATTCATCGTTTATCTTAAAAGTGACGAAGTCATGAGACTCTTACACAGAGAACCTGAACAGCCATAATGAGTGTTGTCTCCTTCAGAGCCATTGCTTCCGGAGGCTGTGCGCCTGTGGTTTCAGGCCTGTCCTCCAGCCGGCTTCTTTTCCCACAGGCCCCGGCAGTGGCACACCCGATTCTCTTTCCTTCCCCACCACCTCCCTCAGCCTCCTGTGGAACTGAGTATAACCTTAGGAGCTTTCTCCCTCTTTGGTCCAATCTCAACATTTGTGAACATTTTATGTCTGGGTGGGCTTTTTTAATGTTAGTAATAATGGGAAGGGGGTTAAAAATAATGAATAAACAGGAAAATGAATCCAATTTTAAGCTAACGCAAAGATTTTTCAATAAATGTCCCTGTGTTCCAGTGGACTATAGACTAGAACTGACACATTAATCATCTGAATTTCAAAGTGAAACGTAGACTCAGTATTTGTTCCTCTTCCTTCTTCAGGTAGGAAGGCTACCCGGGGCATTTCATCACAGGAGCTAGGGCAGGGGCTTTCAGGTGAGGAGCAGGATGGGGCCTTTGGGGGTGTGACTGCTGGGGACATAGCCACAAGGGATTGCCTTCTCATTCCTAGCCTTGCTTTTGCACTGGAACAAAAGAAGGATCAAGGTTTGTGGATTGTGGAGAAACAGAGTAAGATAGCACCAAGTATCTGACTGTGAGGGATAAGGAGGAAAAACTTCGCAAGTAGATGAATGGAAACCCCTAAGCCCAGTCAGCTGAAACTGTCATTTGTCCATACAAGACGATTCTACAGCTATCAGGGTCATGTAAATTTCTATCTCTGCAAGTTTTAGACTGTAACATGAGTGATGTATACACTTATTGATTCTTAGCTCTGTCCCAGCAACTTTCTAGGCTCTAGATATAAAAAAGATTAAGACATAGTCCTGACTTTCAAGGAACTTATGGTTTATTTGCATTAGTATTTCCAAAACCAGAGCATAATGATCAGCAGAGGCACCTGTAAAACCATGTAGGTTTTCAGTCCCTGTAGCAAGCAGGCTTAGTAAAACAATTTCCAGAGGAACCTAGGAACCTTATTTAATAAGGACCCCGGTGATTCATCTGATCAGGAAATTTTATGAAATACCAATCTATAGAATATTGACGTTGGGCCCCTAATATTTATTTTAGAATGAGACATTTCATGTTAATGGTGAATATCTAAACCAAGTAAAAACAAACAACAACTTTAAACATTAAGTGTCATCTTTACATTATCTTTGTTGAATTAAGAATTCTGTTGCATGTCAGCTGAAGCTATTGGTCCTCTACTATCTATAAGGTGATGAGATACCGTATTTGATAGTATTTGGTCCATCTAGACCCTGCTTTCTAACACTGGCACCAAGAAAAATGTGGAAGGACATGCTCATCATCTTTGCATTACCTTGAAACATCCTAATATTTCTCAGGGCAACCTGCTTTTTATTCTAACGATCATGAATTTCCATCATATTTTTTATTTGCCTGAAAACATAAAGGGTTCTCTCTTCTATCTGATATCCTAAATTCTATTGAATGTCCTTTTTTCATTAGCCATGTTCTTCATGGTTTTGTTGACATTGGCCATATCCTCCTTTAATTTTTGTTTTCAGAACCAAATCCTGAGATTTTTAGTTTTTCCATACAAGAGTGCTCAACTCTTTACTCATTTAGTGCCTTCTTGGGACTTTTATCACAAATACTGCTACACCAGACGGGATTTGATATCCACAAAGCATAGTGTGTTTTGTTTTGATATTGATGGTCTGCTTTATAACACTCAACATTTTGGCCATCTCATCAGTACACAGGGCCACTGTCTTTGGGTCAACAGTGACCCCTCAGGTCAGTCTCCTGGATAAGAACTCTCAGTTCTTTTCCTGTCTCCTCCTTTTTCCAAGCATCAGATGGTGGAATTCCTGGAAGCTTTATCCTCGGTGCCTTTCCCTCTACCTAGGCAGTATCTACCCTCCACTCTGTGGCCTCACTCACAGTGTTTCTCAAATGTACATCTTAATCCAAGTTCTCTCTCCTGAGTTTTAGATACACTATCACACTGCTCATCTGACATCTTCACTTAGATGGCTTTTCAGATATTTCTAACTCAGCTGCCACAAACTGAATTTTTTTTATCTCCTCCATCCCCAGACTCTTATTTCTCCCAGGGTTCCTTTTCTCAGAAAATGTCATTCCAATCACCCCAGTTGCTAAAGCCAGAATCTTGAAAGGTACCCATGACTTTATACTTATCTCCTACACTAGTAATTGAGTGCTTTAATTCTGCTTCTTAAATATATCTCAAATCACTGCTCTTCTCATTCCCAGTCCACACCACCATCATTTCTGCTATTCTGCAGCACTTTGTCTTACTTAGCTCCCAACTTCCAGTCATAATCGATTCTGCACCCTGCAACCATAGAAATCTGTTTAGACCACACATATATTTATGCCTTCCCCTACCTAAAATCCTTGGTGTGGCACATAAAGTCTGGCATGATCTGGCCTCTACCCATTTCTGTAGCCTCATCTTGTAACCCTCTCCTTGTTGCTATGTATTTCAGGCCCAGGGGCCCTTGGACATGCTGTTCAATCTGCCTGAAATGCTTCATTGTTCCTGCCCCACCCTTTGTAGATACTCCTTCATCATTTAAGTCTCAACTTAAACATTATTTCCTCAGCCTTTTTCTTGATCTCCCAGTCTAGGTTAAGTCCACCTGTTATCTTGCCCTGTACTTCTACACAATCCAACACAGTTTAGTTACTCATTGTGTATCTTTGCCCTAATCTATAAACTCCATAAAGACAGTGACTATTCACTGATATGTACTTATTCACTGCTATATTTTGGGTTGTCGGAAAAAGTCATGATGCATTTTTGCAACGAAAAACAGAAAAACATCATGACTTTTCCGACAACCCAATATTTTTTCCATCATTATGGTTGGATGGAGAGAAATCTCCCTAACTATGGTTTGAATTTTCCTTAACCAAATTAATTTTCACTTATCTACATTCATCTGTCATTTCTGATAATCATAAAAATGTGTGTGAATTTTCCTGTAGCTAAATCCCCTTGCCTGGAATTCTTGACCCAAAATAGAACTTTGTCTGTTTTGCAGACTTGTAGATTCCTCTACGTATTGACCCTTTTAGATTATTTGCAAAAATATGAAATGTACAGGTTCTCTCAGATTAATGACCTGACTGTTTAGACTTAACAGTATCGAAAAATTGTCTATTTCTATTCATCCTCCTTTTTCTGTCTGAGCCATTTTTCTGTGACAAAACAGTATCCCCATTCCCACAATGATTAATACTGATGACAAATAATATTTTGAATAGCCTCCATATGCATTTTTATTTTTATTTTTGTTCACTCCCTCACCATTTTGCTTCGCCTTTTGTTTTGTTTTTACTTCCCCTTCCTTTATGTCTTTCCCTTTCCTTTCTATTCATGTTCCTCCTTGCCTTCCTACTGTTGAGCATACCCAGTGGTGGGAACCAAGGGCAAAGAAAATACTAAATCCTAGTGTAGCTGATAGTTGACACTCGTGAGTAGCAGAGAAAATAAGAATTTTTTTTTAAATATAAATACTTAGTAACAAGTTGAACAGATCATTTTTCATAAAAAATAAGCTTTGCTTCAGGCAGTTTCATTTAGACTTTCAGTATTCCTAAGGATAATTATTCAGCAGATAAAAAGTATTGAAATAATTAGGCCACAGTGTGCAACAATGAAGAGTGTTTATGAAGCCCTAATAATAAAAATGTTATCTTTTTATGCTTACATTCAGGAAGACCTAGTGTTAAAAAATAGTCTTCATTGTTGATCGGATACAGTGTATGTGCAGTAAAGTGTAATGCTCATTTCACTCAGCAAGGCAAGGGGTGGAGGGTGGAGAAACTGGCAGAAAATGGAATAGTTGTCAGCTGTACTTTTTAAATGTATTACACAAAAGTCCTTTATAAGAGTTTTGTAGCTTGTAATTCTAAAGACAAACTTAAACCATGTATCCTCATTCTTTGAGATTTTTTCCTAATATTTAAGTTATAAACTTGATACTAGTTTGTTTTAGTTTAGATTATTATCTTTTTCCTCTTGCCCTTTTTAAATTAGGGGGACTACAGGCCATTGCAGAATTATTGCAAGTGGACTGTGAAATGTATGGGCTTACTAATGACCACTACAGTATTACATTAAGACGATATGCTGGAATGGCTTTGACAAACTTGACTTTTGGAGATGTTGCCAACAAGGTATGTTTTATAAGATCCACTTCTTAAGACATCTCAGGTATGAGTTAATTTACTTTTCTACAAACTACTTTTGCTTTTTGTCATCCTCCTATTAAACACTGAGTAATAAAAACCTGTACTTCATATCCCACTGGCATATCCTTATTCATTTGGTCATCTGATGACTAAACAAAGGCAAAAGATGGGACACAGTGGTGGATTTATGTAATTGCATTTAAAACATTGTTTCTAGGAATGAGAGCAAAAATCTGAAAATCTTGATGAGCAGTGCAAGTGTGACACACGTATTGGATGCATCCAAATAAGAGACTTTACTTTAAAACCCTTGCTTATTCTTTTTTATCAGATAGCAAAGGATATCGGATAAAGGATATTCGGAGGGTATTTGTCTTTTATTTATGTAATCTGATTGTAAGTCTTTTACGGGTGAAATATTAGCTGTAATTAAAATGAGACACTCAAAACTGATATTAAAGTTTAGTAGTCAAAAATAAAGCACAACTTCAGGTTGCCTTGTTATTGACCCTCTGTTCCATATCTAACTTTATAGGCTACGCTATGCTCTATGAAAGGCTGCATGAGAGCGCTGGTGGCCCAACTAAAATCTGAAAGTGAAGACTTACAGCAGGTACTACTTAGAATTTCAGATGTTTTTCTAGGATATCAGTGGGTTTCTATTCTGACTTAAATTAATTTAAGCTCAGTACTTAGAATCTCATGTTTCAATTATGGTTACATTAACACCAGAATAAAGGAAAATCATTATATTGTAGAAATTCCTTTTGGCACCATATTAGCATTTAGGAGGAATTTCTTTATTAATAGATTTCTATCTTACCTCTAGCATTAAAAAGAGCAACTATTATAAACCATTTTATATATAAATTATTCCAAAAATTTGATTCATTCGCAGGTTATTGCAAGTGTTCTAAGGAATTTGTCTTGGCGAGCAGATGTAAATAGTAAAAAGACATTGCGCGAAGTTGGAAGTGTGAAAGCATTGATGGAATGTGCTTTGGAAGTTAAAAAGGTACCTTTGAAAACATTTAATACTGTAATACGGACTTTATCTTTGGATACTTTTTTGCTGCCCTCTCCCATCCCTGAGGTTCCCTAATTTCTGACCTGTTTATCTCACCAATCCTTATTCTAGACTACTCCAAACTCCTAAAGTATAAAGATGGAAGAGATTGTGTGGTGGCCTAGTGTAAGGGTTTCTCAGACTCTGCACTGTTGACATCTTGGACCAGATAATTCCTTGTTTTGGGGGACTAACCTGTGCCTTGTAGGATAGTTAGCCTTTGTCCATTAAATGTCAGTACACCCTCCACTCAGTCATGACAAGTCAAAAATGTCTCCAGGTATTACTAAATATCCCCCAGAAAGGAAGAGGGATTGAATTATCCCCAGTTAAGAATCACCTGGAAAACCCAAGAAAAATTATGAAAAATAGGGAATGTATTTAACTAAATAACTGGTTATAAAGATAATAGTCAGATATACTTAGGGTCCGCATAAAGATACCTTTAATATGCTACTGAATTGGAAAAACACTATGCTGACACTGCAGAAAAGAAGATATTTGAATGGCCAATAAGCACTTAAAAAGATACTCAACATTAGTCATCAGGGAAATATAAATTAAAATTGCAATGAGATAGCAGCACACGTATTATATTGGTTAAAATTTAAAAGATTGGCCAAGTGTTGTCAAGGCTGTTGAGCAGCTGGAATTCTCATGCACTGCTGGTGGAAATGTAAAATGGTATAACCACTTTGGAGAACATTTGTCAGTGTTTTAAAGTTAAATGTACGCCTACCTTACAACCCAGCCATTTTACTCCTAAGTGCTTACCCAAGAGGAACAAACATGTATGTTCACACAAAGACTTAACACACATGTTCACAGAAATATTATTTGTGATAGCCAAAAACTAGGAATAACTAATGTCCATCAACAGGGGAATGGGCAAATTGTGGAGTATTCACAATGGAATACTGTTCAGCTATAAGAAGAGTGAACTATTGATACATGTAATAATCCATAATGACAGAAAACAGATAAGTAGTTACCTGGGGTTAGGGTTGGATTACAAGGGGGTGGATATTAGAAAATTTGGGAGGATGAAACAAATGTTTGTTCCTGATTGGAGTGATGACGGTTTCATGAGTATACCCATCAAAAGTGATCAAATTGCACATTTGAAATATGTGCAGTTTATTATTCTCCAGTTGTACCACAATAAAGTTAAACCAAAAAAATTAGTACTGTGCACACTTTAAGACTCCTAATTAACCATGTATATTTTCAGAAAAACCTAATGTGTTCGTATGTATTATGGGAACTTATACTGCTGCTGAATGTTCATGACTTTAAATTATCTCTCACGGACCTCAGAGATTTACATACAGACTAATTGAAAGCCAAGAAAGCTAGATTAAAAAACACATCCTACTGGGGAACATAAAAGACCATAATAAATGGAAAGACATACCCTATTCTTATAAAGGAAGAGTGGTATTTTAAAGATCATTTCTCCCCTAAACTCATATGTAAATTTTAAATGGAAGTCCAATCTTGGAAACACTAGCCAATCGGAAATCAATAATACCCAATTCAGGTTTTGGCCTGCTTCTGGTTAGCAGTATTAGAATTTATTTGTTCCCTCTTTTTCTTCATTCAATGCAACAGTCATTCTCTTTCTCTTTTTAATTCATCATCTTTTCCTTCTCAACTTCATTTACTACTAATTACCAAGAGAATCAGAAGTGCCTTCCATAGTCCCCATGTAGTGCATCATTTGGACTTCAGTCAGCAGGCTCTTACTCTTCTATACAACAGAACCTTTCCTTCACCCACAGTCTGTGCCCAAGGGCTGCTGTTCACTCAAAGATGTTAGTCGCTTACTCTTGTCTTTTATATCTTCTCTACCGGATATAGAAGAGAATGCCTTTTATGTTTCATCTATTTATAGGAAACCCAATTTTTTGAAAATTGAAAAAAAAATTCTGTTGCTTTTTCTAACTCCTGCAGTTACTCTTTTTTCCTGTGATAACCAAGACCCTGAACAAGTCATTTGCTCCATTTCTTAACCAGTATACCTTCCTTGGTCCCTCCTAATTTTGCTTCTAACAAAATCAAGATTAATAGATTAACTTGGATTTTTATTTTCTACCTATACCTACATTATTAAAATGCCTCCCTTTGTTTTTACCACCTGCACTTTCAACCTCTAGTCACTTCTTTCCTCTAACTATAAAACTTCTTTGAAACAAAACCCTTGGCCCTCGGCATGCAGTCTTCTAGAGAGCACCTTCTATTTTCGTACTTTAACTCTCCCTCTGGGCCAGTTGCAGTTTAAAAGCTCACTCCTCTAAACTCTTGCTGTTTTTTCTGTTCTCAGCATACTTCGGATGTCCCACCTTTATGTCAGTCACAGTGTAATTAAAATTGAGAGCTCTTACCCTTCTCCCATTTTGATTGGTGAAAGCACTTCTTCCCTGCCTCCTCACAAATAGTATCTAAACCTGTTCCTTAGATTGTTTCATTCATTTGATTTCCTGATGAAGAGACTACAGTAGCTATTTGTTGGGTTAGGCCCAAAATGTTTGCAGTGACAGTCAAGGTTTTCTTTGACCTCTCCGACCTTACCCCCTACTATTCCCCAGCATGGCGTTTGATCTCCCCCTTCTTCTTTCTGTTCTTCAGTACCCCCCCCCACCCCCAAGTAAATTGTTAGCACCTTCAAAGAAGGTATCAGTTTGTTATGTTTGTATCCTCTGGAGTACCTCTAATTGTGATAGGCATAGAGTAGATTTCTAATGGATGTTTATTCCTTGATTGTGTGTAGTAAGAGGAAAGACTGGCATCAGGATCATGGCAGGTTTTGACCAGACACCCTTAATTGTATATACAGAGTATTTCTGTGGCAATTACAGTTTGACAGTTTACTGTGATATTATACCAGGGAGTTCTGGTTTTTGTAATTACCTTGTTTCTTTGGGAGTTTTAAGAATTGGAGTTTTTCCGGTATGCTTTCTTTTTAATAAGTTATATTGTTACTTTTGAATCAACTACATATAAATATGTATGTGTTTTTTATACAAACGGAATATTGTACATACTGCCCTGCAACTTGCTGTCTTCATTTAGTAACACTTCTTAGCTATCTTTCCATGTCAGCATATAGAGGTTTTTTTTGTAGTATTTGTTATCCTGAAAATGTTAGCTTTTCAGAATGCACATCAGTTCTGTTTCATGTTCTAATATAAGCTTTTGTAAGATATGTGTGTACCATCTAAACACTTAGAATAATGTTCATAAAGGTCATTAGTTTAATATTATGTTTTACTTGTTTATGGGGATATCACTGACTTAAGTTCCATTTGGTATTTTATGAAAGTTTTTCTAAATGGGGAATTCCTAATACTTTACCAGTGATGGGGTGAGCAGGAGGGGAGATTTTAAAAATAAATAAGTAACTTGTTCCACAGAAGTAAATGTGGAAGTTATGAGAGACAAATTCCAACTCTAATTAGATGACACATCATTTGTTTCTTAATAGGAATCAACCCTCAAAAGCGTATTGAGTGCCTTATGGAATTTATCAGCACATTGCACTGAGAATAAAGCTGATATATGTGCGGTAGATGGTGCACTTGCATTTTTGGTTGGCACTCTCACTTACCGGAGCCAGACAAATACTTTAGCCATTATTGAAAGTGGAGGTGGGATATTACGGAATGTGTCCAGCTTGATAGCTACAAATGAGGACCACAGGTAAATAGAGTTTTATGTTACTTATAAATGAATTAGTATAGAATGCATTCCCTCAGAAAGACCCATTTGTAAGCAGTGTTTTGTGTAATTATGTAAGTTCTAAGCCAAATTGTGTGAAAAGATAACTGTTAATGCCTAATTCACTCATTAATGTCTTTATTCTAATAAAATTTCATAGTATCATAAAGATGTCCAGAAATAAACAAATGATAGCTGAGAGTTATAACTCATATGTAGAGGAAAGAATTAAAGTCACAAAAACAAAAATAAAACCTGTGGGTATGATCCAGAGAGTACAGTGGTTTACATTTTTCTAATGGTGTTTTAACATCAATATTATTATTTAGCCAACAGCCATTCATCCAGTCTACTAGCGCTGTGAAACCTAAGAGAGCACCTCAGATACAGGGCACACATTTTCTGAACTTGGTGTCTGTATTATGTCAACCAAAATGTGGGTATCTTTCACAGCATATTCATTTTATTCAGCATTGTTCCTCTCTCCTTTTCAAAAGCACAATGTGGTACTTTTAGTAAAAGAACCTATAAAGACTATATATCTTTTAAGTGTTTGATGCAAATAAAAAATGCAAAGAAGACTTCTTGAACTCAGTAAGCACCCGGGTGTCTACAGGACCGCTGAGAGGACCACCATGTTAAAGCTTACTGTACACCCTTGCCAGTCAGTTTGAAAGCCCACTAAAGCTGAGTATTTGTCATTAAACTTCAGCCTTCCTTGCATTGAACAGCTGTAGCTCTTCAAGTCCCAGAGTTCATTGTGCTGATTCTCAACCCTTGTTTTCATAGTTACCTTTAAATATTTTGAAAACCTTTCTTTTGCTTTATTTTTAGAAATAACAACTATACACACAATTTGTCAGAGAGCACTTAGCAGTATCACAAAATCAAGCCAGAGATACAGAGATTACTCTAAAAGTCAGTGTGCTGATCTAGGCACTGCCAGCGTGTGCTCCTTGACTACATAAAGATCTACTGATTGATTAAATTACCACAAAGTCCCTGTTCAGCATAAGATTTCATGAAATTGGGATGCTGTCACCATGTAAATAAAGTAAATGTATCTGCTCAACAAAAATCTAAAAAGTTATCAGTTCAGAATAGGAAATGTAGAATGAATTAAAATTAACACTTACACTTCTTTTAGTCTGACAGATGAGTTCTTTAAAACAATAAACAGTAAATGAACAACAAATGGAGCTATGGAATGCCTGGAATTTATAGTATAATTTGGTATAATTTTATTATGCCTGTTGTTAATAAGTTTTAGTAGTTATCTTTAAAGTTGTTTTCTATCCTTTTATTTGTTGTTACTAGAAACAGATTTTGACCTTAATTTTGTGTTCTTATGTTTTTATTTCAGGCAAATCTTGAGAGAGAACAACTGCTTGCAAACCTTATTACAACACTTAAAATCTCACAGTTTGACAATAGTCAGTAATGCATGTGGAACCTTGTGGAATCTCTCAGCAAGAAACCCGAAAGACCAGGAGGCATTATGGGACATGGGGGCTGTCAGCATGCTCAAGAACCTCATCCATTCAAAGCACAAAATGATTGCTATGGGAAGTGCCGCTGCTTTACGGAATCTCATGGCAAATAGACCTGCAAAGTATAAGGATGCCAATATTATGTCTCCTGGTTCAAGCTTGCCATCTCTTCATGTCAGGAAACAGAAAGCCCTAGAAGCAGAATTAGATGCTCAGCATTTATCAGAAACTTTTGACAATATTGACAATTTAAGTCCCAAGGCATCTCATCGTAGTAAGCAAAGACACAAGCAAAATCTCTACGGTGACTATGTTTTTGATACCAATCGACATGATGATAATAGGTCAGACAATTTTAATACTGGAAACATGACTGTCCTGTCACCATATTTAAATACTACAGTGTTGCCCAGCTCCTCTTCATCAAGGGGGAGTTTAGATAGCTCTCGTTCTGAAAAAGACAGAAGTTTAGAGAGAGAGCGAGGAATGAGCCTAGGCAGCTACCACCCAGCAACAGAAAATCCAGGCACGTCTTCAAAGCGAGGCCTGCAGATATCCACCACTGTGGCCCAGATTGCTAAAGTCATGGAAGAAGTGTCAGCCATCCACACCTCCCAGGACGACAGAAGTTCTGGGTCTGCTACAGAATTACACTGTGGGACAGACGAGAGGAACGCACTCAGAAGAAGCTCTACTGCCCACACACATTCAAACACTTATAACTTCACTAAGTCAGAAAATTCAAATAGGACATGTCCTATGCCTTATGCCAAACTGGAATATAAGAGATCTTCAAATGACAGTTTAAATAGTGTCAGTAGTAGTGATGGTTATGGTAAAAGAGGTCAAATGAAACCTTCAATTGAATCCTATTCTGAAGATGATGAAAGTAAATTTTGCAGCTATGGTCAATATCCAGCTGACCTAGCCCATAAAATACACAGTGCAAATCATATGGATGATAATGATGGAGAACTAGACACACCAATAAATTATAGTCTTAAATATTCAGATGAGCAGTTGAACTCCGGAAGGCAAAGTCCTTCACAAAATGAAAGATGGGCAAGACCCAAACATATAATAGAAGATGAAATGAAACAGAGTGAGCAAAGACAATCCAGGAGTCAAAGCACAACCTACCCCGGGTACACTGAGAGCACTGACGATAAACACCTCAAGTTCCAGCCACATTTTGGACAGCAAGAATGCGTTTCCCCATATAGGTCGAGAGGAGCCAGTGGTTCCGAAACAAATCGAGTAAGTTCTAATCATGGAATTAATCAAAATGTCAACCAGTCCTTGTGTCAGGAAGATGACTACGAAGATGATAAGCCAACCAACTATAGCGAGCGTTACTCTGAGGAAGAGCAGCAGGAGGAAGAGAGGCCGACAAACTACAGCATAAAGTACAATGAGGAAAAACATCATGTGGATCAGCCCATTGATTACAGTTTAAAATATGCCACAGACATTCCTTCCTCACAGAAACCATCCTTTTCATTTTCGAAGAGCTCATCTGGACAAAGCACTAAAACTGAACACCTCTCTTCAAGCAGTGAGAATACATCCACACCTTCGTCTAATGCCAAGAGGCAGAATCAGCTCCACCCGAGTTCTGCCCAAAGCAGAAGTGGTCAGACTCCAAAGGCCAGCTCCTGCAAAGTTCCGTCTATCAACCAGGAAACAATACAGACTTACTGTGTGGAAGACACCCCAATATGTTTTTCAAGGTGTAGTTCATTATCATCTTTGTCATCAGCTGAAGACGAAATAGGATGTGATCAAACAACACAGGAAGCAGATTCTGTTAATACACTACAAATAGCAGAAATCAAAGAAAACAGTGGAACTAGATCAACTGAAGATTCTGTGAGTGAAGTCCCAACCACAGCACAGCACAGCAGAACCAAACCCAGCAGACTCCAGGCTTCCAGTTTGGCTTCAGAACCGCCCCGGCACAAAGCTGCTGAACTTTGTTCAGGGGCCAAATCTCCATCAAAAAGTGGTGCCCAGACTCCTAAAAGTCCACCCGAGCACTATGTTCAGGAGACCCCACTCATGTTTAGCAGATGTACGTCTGTCAGTTCACTTGATAGCTTTGAGAGTCGTTCCATTGCCAGCTCCGTTCAGAGTGAACCCTGCAGTGGAATGGTAAGTGGCATTATAAGCCCCAGTGACCTCCCAGATAGCCCCGGACAAACCATGCCACCAAGCAGAAGTAAAACCCCTCCTCCTCCGCCGCCGCCTCAAACAGCTCAAGCTAAACGAGAGGTGCCTAAGAATAAAGCTCCAAATGCTGAAAAAAGAGAAAGTGGACCTAAGCAAGCTGCTGTGAACGCTGCAGTTCAGAGGGTCCAGGTTCTTCCAGATGCTGACACTTTATTGCATTTTGCCACAGAAAGCACTCCAGATGGATTTTCTTGTTCCTCGAGCCTGAGTGCTCTGAGCCTCGATGAGCCATTTATACAAAAGGATGTGGAATTACGAATAATGCCTCCAGTCCAGGAAAATGACAATGGGAATGAAACAGAATCTGAGCAGCCCGAAGAATCAAATGAAAACCAGGCAAAGGAGGCAGAAAAGCCTACTGATTCTGAAAAAGACCTATTAGATGATTCAGATGATGACGATATTGAAATACTAGAAGAATGTATTATTTCTGCCATGCCAACAAAATCTTCACGCAAAGTCAAAAAGCCAGCCCAGAGCGCTACAAAATTACCTCCACCTGTAGCAAGGAAACCAAGTCAGCTGCCCGTGTACAAACTCCTGCCATCACAAAACAGGATACAAGCACAAAAGCATGTTAGCTTTACACCAGGAGATGATATGCCACGAGTGTACTGTGTAGAAGGGACACCTATAAACTTTTCCACAGCGACATCTCTAAGTGACCTAACAATAGAGTCCCCTCCTAATGAGTTAGCTGCTGGTGACGGGGTTAGAGCAGGGGCACAGTCGGGTGAATTTGAAAAACGAGATACCATTCCTACAGAAGGCAGGAGTACAGACGAGGCTCAAAGAGGAAAAACCTCATCTATAACTATACCTGAACTGGATGACAGCAAGACAGAAGAAGGTGATATTCTTGCAGAATGCATTAATTCTGCCATGCCCAAAGGGAAAAGTCACAAGCCTTTCCGTGTGAAGAAGATAATGGACCAGGTCCAACAAGCGTCTATGTCCTCATCTGGAACTAACAAGAACCAATTAGATGGTAAGAAAAAGAAACCTACTTCGCCAGTAAAACCTATGCCACAAAATCCTGACTATAGGACGCGTGTAAAAAAAAATACAGATTCAAAAAACAATTTAAATGCTGAGAGAACTTTTTCAGACAACAAAGATTCAAAGAAACAGAACTTGAAAAATAATTCCAAGGACTTCAATGATAAGCTACCAAATAATGAAGATCGAGTCAGAGGAAGTTTTACTTTTGATTCACCTCATCATTACACGCCTATTGAGGGAACTCCATACTGTTTCTCACGAAATGACTCTCTGAGTTCTCTAGATTTTGATGATGATGATGTCGACCTTTCCAGGGAAAAGGCTGAATTAAGAAAGGGGAAAGAAAATAAGGAATCAGAAGCTAAAGTCACCAGCCACATAGAACTAACCTCAAGCCAACAATCAGCTAATAAGACACAAGCTGTGACAAAACATCCAATAAGTCGAGGACAGCCTAAACCCATATTGCAGAAGCAGTCTGCTTTTCCCCAGGCATCCAAAGACATACCAGACAGGGGGGCAGCCACCGATGAAAAATTACAGAATTTTGCTATTGAAAATACTCCAGTTTGCTTTTCTCGAAATTCCTCTCTAAGTTCCCTGAGTGACATTGATCAAGAAAACAACAACAACAAGGAAAATGAACCTATCAAAGAGGCAGAGCCCCCTGACTCACGGGCAGAGCCAAAACCTCAGGCATCCGGCTATGCTCCTAAATCATTCCACGTTGAAGACACACCTGTCTGTTTCTCAAGAAACAGTTCTCTCAGTTCTCTCAGTATTGATTCTGAAGATGACCTGTTGCAGGAATGCATAAGCTCTGCAATGCCAAAAAAGAAAAAGCCTTCAAGACTCAAGGGTGATAATGAAAAGCATAGTCCCAGAAACATGGACGGGATATTAGCAGAAGATTTGACACTTGATTTGAAAGATATACAGAGACCAGATTCAGAACACGGTTTATCCCCTGATTCAGAAAATTTTGATTGGAAAGCCATTCAGGAAGGTGCAAATTCCATAGTGAGTAGTTTACATCAAGCTGCTGCTGCTGCCTGTTTATCTAGACAAGCTTCATCTGATTCGGATTCCATCCTTTCACTGAAATCAGGCATCTCGCTGGGATCACCATTTCATCTCACACCTGATCAAGAGGAAAAACCCTTTACAAGTAATAAAGGCCCACGAATTCTGAAACCTGGGGAGAAAAGTACATTGGAAGCTAAAAAGGTAGAATCTGAAAATAAAGGAATCAAAGGAGGGAAAAAAGTTTATAAGAGTTTGATTACTGGAAAAGTTCGATCTAATTCGGAAATTTCAAGCCAAATGAAACAGCCCCTTCAAGCAAACATGCCTTCAATCTCCCGAGGGAGGACAATGATTCACATTCCAGGAGTTCGAAATAGCTCTTCTAGTACAAGTCCAGTTTCTAAAAAAGGCCCACCCCTGAAGACTCCAGCCTCTAAAAGCCCTAGTGAGGGTCAGACAGCCACCACTTCTCCTAGAGGAGCCAAGCCATCAGTGAAGTCAGAATTAAGCCCTGTTACCAGGCAGACATCCCAACAGGCTGGGTCAAATAAAGGGCCTTCCAGATCAGGATCTAGAGACTCCACTCCTTCAAGACCGGCCCAGCAGCCATTAAGTAGACCTATGCAATCTCCAGGGCGAAACTCAATTTCTCCTGGCAGAAATGGAATAAGCCCTCCTAACAAATTATCTCAACTGCCAAGGACATCATCCCCTAGTACTGCTTCAACTAAGTCCTCGGGTTCTGGGAAAATGTCATACACGTCTCCAGGCAGACAGATGAGCCAGCAGAACCTAACCAAACAAACGGGTTTATCCAAAAATGGCAGTAGTATCCCAAGAAGTGAGTCTGCCTCCAAAGGACTAAATCAGATGACTAATAGCAATGGATCCAATAAAAAGGTAGAACTTTCTAGAATGCCTTCAACCAAATCAAGTGGAAGTGAATCTGATAGGTCAGAGAGACCTGTATTAGTACGCCAGTCAACTTTCATCAAAGAAGCTCCAAGCCCAACCCTGAGGAGAAAATTGGAGGAATCTGCTTCATTCGAATCCCTTTCTCCATCTTCTAGACCAGATTCTCCCACTAGATCCCAGGCACAGACTCCAGTTTTAAGTCCCTCCCTTCCTGATATGTCTCTGTCAACACCTCCATCTGTTCTGGCTGGTGGATGGCGAAAACTCCCACCTAATCTCAGTCCCACCATAGAGTATAACGATGGAAGACCAGCAAAGCGCCATGATATAGCACGCTCCCATTCTGAAAGCCCTTCCAGACTCCCCATCAATAGATCAGGAACCTGGAAACGTGAGCACAGCAAACATTCATCCTCTCTTCCTCGAGTGAGCACTTGGAGAAGAACTGGAAGTTCATCCTCAATTCTTTCTGCTTCTTCGGAATCCAGTGAAAAAGCAAAAAGTGAGGATGAAAAACATGTGAACTGTATTTCAGGAACCAAACAAACTAAAGAAAACCAAGTATCCACAAAGGGAACATGGAGAAAAATAAAAGAAAATGAAATTTCTCCCACAAGTAGTACTTCTCAGACGTCTTCCTCAGGTGCTGCCAATGGTGCTGAATCAAAGACTCTAATTTATCAAATGGCACCTGCTGTTTCTAAAACAGAGGACGTTTGGGTCAGAATTGAGGACTGCCCCATTAACAACCCGAGGTCCGGAAGGTCTCCCACAGGAAATACTCCCCCAGTGATTGATAGTGTTTCAGAAAAGGGAACGCCAAACGCTAAAGATTCAAAAGATAATCAGGGAAAACAAAATGTGGGTAATGGCAGTGGTCCTGTGCGCACCATGGGTTTGGAAAACCGCCTGAACTCCTTTATTCAGGTAGACGCCCCAGATCAAAAAGGAACTGAAGCAAAACCAGCACCAAGTAATCCTGCCCCCGTGCCAGAGACTAATGAAAGCTCCATAACTGAGCGTACCCCATTCGGTTCTAGCAGCTCGAGCAAACACAGCTCACCTAGTGGGACTGTTGCTGCCAGAGTGACTCCTTTCAATTACAACCCAAGCCCTAGGAAAAGCAGCGCAGACAGCACTTCAGCTCGGCCATCTCAGATCCCTACGCCAGTGAATAACAACACAAAGAAACGAGATTCCAAAACTGACAGCACAGAATCCAGTGGAACTCAAAGCCCTAAGCGCCATTCTGGGTCTTACCTTGTGACGTCTGTTTAAAAGAGCTGGAATAATGAAACTAAGAAAAGTATGTGTTAATTACAACTGCTATGTAGAAATTTTGTTTCAAATGAAACTTTAAAAGACTGAAAGTTTTGTAAATAGGTTTGATTCTTGTTAGAGGGTTTTTTGTTCTGGAAGCCATATTTGAATAGTATACTTTGTCTTCACTGGTCATATTTTGGGAGGCACTCTTATAGTTAGAAAGAAAATAGTAAAGCCAAGTATATTTGTACAGTATGTTTTACACGTATTTAAGTAGCATCCCATCCCATTATCCTTTAATTATTGCTTGTCTTAAAATAATGAACACTACAGATAGAAGATATGATATATTGTATGATTTATTGCTGTTATCAATCAATTCTAGGTTATAAACTGACTAAACTTACATCAGGGAGAAATTGGTATTTATGCAAAAAACCATTCTGTTTTAGTCCTTGTGAATCCATCTAACATCATAATTAATCATGTGGCTGTGAAATTCACAGTAATATGGTTCCCGATGAACAAGTTTACCCAGCCTGCTTTGCTTTACTGCATGAATGAAACTGATGGTTCAATAAACAGTTCTGTGGTCACATGGTGTGCATATAGATAGCTACAGTGTAACAATTTACACTCTTTTGTGCTCAATACAAAAAAAAATCTGTGTTAACTGTAAAACATTGAATGAAACTATTTTACCTGAACTAGATTTTATCTGAAAGTAGGTAGAATTTTTGCTATGCTGTAACTTGTATATTCTGGTATTTGAGGTGAGATGGCTGCTCTTTTATTAATGAGACCTGAATTGTGTCTCAACAGAAACTAAATGAACATTTCAGAATAAATTATTGCTGTATGTAAACTGTTACTGAAATTGGTATTTGTTTGAAGGGTCTTATTTCACATTTGTATTAATAATTGTCAAAAGAGCCTCTTAAAAGCTTATGTAATTTTTTTTTCAATTTCTATGCATTAAGAGTAAAATTCCTCCTACTGTAATAAAAACAATTGAAGCTGACTGTTGGCATTTAACCATTCCATGCATTGGCACTGAATCATTCCTGAAATTTATTTTTCTTATATGTGATTAGCACTTCCTAATATTTAATATTTTTCCACTTGTACTTTTTTTTCTTTACTCTATTGGAGCTGGTTTAAAACATATTCATTTAACAGCAATGTCAACTGCCTCGCACAAACTAGGCATTGAACATAAAAGGCCCACATAAAACATTTCTCTTAATAGAATTCTGTACTTGAAAAATTAATGAGTTATTCTTGAGTATAAGTAGTCTCTTCCAATGGGAGAATGTAACTGTTGTCCCTTCATCTTTCGCTGTGGCTACCTAGCCTGAAATGAACAGCTTTTATCACTGTTACAGCAAATTTCCAGCAAGCAAGTATAATCAGCACTTTGCCACACTCAGCAAGAACAGATCACATGGAGTATCAAAGGTAGACGTAATACCATGAGGATAGCCAAACGACTAAACCCCCTGCCTGTTAAGGAAAACTGTTTTTGATGGGTAGAATTGTGGGGTGCATTCAAGTGCCCTCTTCCTCACATGTCAGGGAAAATCCTCCTTTATGAAGGAAGATAAACTGATACACTTATTAACAAATGGAATTTAATCTCTTCTCACAGTTTGTTCTAAAAGATCAGAGGGTGAGGATGATGATAAATACGTTTGTTGAATAAATGAAAATTTATTTTTAATCATGCATTCTGCATTTGTAGAAGGAAAAAGATACTTAGGTATGGTGGGCACTGAGAAAAGGGTGAGAGGAGTAAGCACATGTATCTTGTGCCCTTGAAATCACATCATGTAGTTAATTACCTCTTACCCATGATGATCACAGGAAATGAGGCTGATTTTTTTTTTTAACTAAAATGCCAGTAAAGTGCTATGATTTGAAGTAAGGCATTTCACTCCATAGCCCATACTCTTTCCACTGCACTACTTTGCAAACACCTCAATTTACTGATCTTTGGAATACATTGACATTTAAATTTTTGTCAAATTTTATCTGAATGAAATAGTTTGTGAATAATAATACTAATTTATTCTGTTTATATTTTTCTTGATCTGCTTTATACAACAGGGTTACTTGCATATAGGTCATATTTCTTTCCTCTTGGTCATGATTTTCTATTTTTTCTGAATTGCATTTCAGTTTTTATAAATCACTTCAAATATTTTTATGGAAAGAGATGGGGTGTAGCCAATTAGGATAAAATTGCCCTTTTCAAGTAAGGAAAAAAAGGCCTTTTTTAAGTAAGGAAAAATATTAGCAGTGCTGGAAATGAAAACAAAAGGTGCCTTCCACATGCCAAAAAACTCAGAAATTTTTGTAGGCAGCACCCACTGGGAGAGGCGCCAGTCTACATTGCCCACTGAAGGAAAAGTTGCTCTATAAGCCCCTCTCATTAGAGAATTAGTGAAGGGGCAAATCTCAGTTCTACTTCTAGAAGTTCACAGGGTGCTGCCATAACATAGCAGGCCAGACAGTCCCAGTTTTTACTTCTTATTTCCAAAAGGCATACTGAGCTCAGTGTTGGGGATTAGTTGTGATGCCTGTTAAGTAGGAGGCAGTGCTCTATCCAGCTGTGGACTGCAGCAAATAAATCTTAAGGCAACAGTTTTCAAACGAGTGCATTTGAATCACCAGGAGTGCTTGTAAGGACATAGCTGGGCCACACCCCGCTAGTCTCTCATTCTGAGTAGGGCCCAAGAAGTTGCAGTTCTAACAGTTTCGCAGGTAATGCTGCTGCCCTGGAACCACACTTTGAGAACTACTGCCCTAAGTTATAACAAGGAAGCTCCTTGAGTGATTGCCTTCAGTTCTAGCAGTTCGTCCTCTGAACAACTGAACCTTTAACCTGACAATGTATACCAACAAATAAACTTCTCTCTCCTTTAGGCATAAAAGATTTGAATTCAGCTATACAACCTGATATAGCTCATCTCAACTCCCAGTAGTGGACAGATTTACCAGACCTGCCTCAACAGGTAATTCTAAACATAATGACTATTTGAGGGATCAGCTAACATTCCCTTAAAACAGTTATTGTAAAGGCAATAATTTCAGCAAATGTCTAATGCGCATTTGCAATAAGAAGAGACTATGAAAAGGAACTTTCAAATGAGGGAAGATTGATTTCGCGTGAAAGGAAAATGTGCCCAATGTGTTAATAAACAGTAGGAGTGATTGACAACCAATTAACTATGGCAAATCAGATTGGTATTTAAGAATAAACTTTACAAGTTACCTGGGCAGTAAAAGGAATGTTAATGAGAAGGAAATAAAAGATGAACATTCATAAGGATCAAATAGGACCATAAGTAAAGTCCAAAAAAAACATTGACTGTAAAATACAATTCATGTTACCACAAGGTTAGGTGAAGGGATGAATCTGTTACTGAGAATGGGAGCCAGTTGCACTATATCTGAATTTATGTTATCACTAGGTTTCTCTGTATCTATGATAGGAAAAGAACAGAGTGCCAGAAATGTAAAATAAATTGCCAAGAGATGAAAGATTTGAGTAAAATCATTAAAATTTACCAAACAAAAAATTTTTCAAAAGTTATGGGGCTGAAATAGAGTATACAAATTAGTTTTTAATTTCTAATAAGCATATATCCCTCATATTATGCCTACTGTAAAATACTGCTTTGTAGTGTTGAAACCTATGGACTTTGACTTCTGTGAACACCAGGTCATTTTCTTGCCATTACCCTCACTCTGTTACATGGTCTATAAAACTATATTCTGTTTTTTTGTTAGGCCATTGATACTTCCTTCAACCTGTATGTTCTATGTGTATAATATTGTTCTTGGTGCTAAATACACTTTCTTTCCTCTGATATTCAGTATAATTCTTTATATTTGTGACTATTCACTCATTTTCTTGAAGTTATGTGATTGTTACTATTTTTAAATTAAAAATACTCATACTGCATACTAATAATGAAGGTGACCATTGAATATAAAGCAACACTGTATTTAGAACTATGCCAAATATTAACCTGCCCCACATATACCACCTTTTGGAATCCAAACACTTAGCCTCACTGGTCACTGAACCACATACCCAGTCTTTCCCCTTGGCCTAGGGGAGACTCATCATCAATTGCCCAGTGGCTGAAGACTTGTATAGCTGGCTTAAAAAAAAAAAAAAAGACTGGGCCAATTTGAAATAAGAGTCAGAAAGTAAATTTCTGGTTGGTGATTGAGAGCTGGAACTGAAAACTCTTTAGAGTTAAGGCTGGGGTTATTATGGTTGGCATCATGAAGCTAAAACTAAGAGAAAGCCAGCCAGCCAATAGAGAAAGAGAAAAGAACAGATAGTGGAGGGAGGTATAGAGAGCAAATGAAAGGTGAGAGTCACTAGCTCCTGGTGTTACCTCAGTCCCTACCATTTCTAAGACCTAGTTTCTGCTTTTCCTTGTATTGAGGCATTTGTGAGCCTCTAAACACACTTTTTTCCTGAAGTAACTTGAACTAACCAAACCATATTTAGACACATCTTTGTGAGGTTTTTGGTTTTTTTTTTTCAAAGATAGAGAAAAATTTCTTAAAAAGATCTGTGGGAAGAGAGGAATAGGTTGCCTACAAAAGTAATAATAATAATAATAATAATAATAAATGCTGGCATCAGATTTTTTCTCTGCAATACAAAATACCACCCAAAAAAAACAAACAAACCAGCAAAACAATAGAACTATATATGCAGCTTTTGGAAGGGAATAGAAATATTACCTAAGAATTCTGAAACAATGCAAGGACTTTAATTTATTCAAAGTCCTTGAATGTTACACAATTCTTATTATAGTTATCAACAAAACCTTCTCTAAAAGACAAGATGCTCTTTTATTTAAAGAATACTAGGTAGCTCATAGGATTTAAATGAGGGCCGGAACATCAGTCTTGCAATCTAGAGAGTGGAAGCAGTACCCAAACCATACTAAGGCTGCCTCAGTCAACACCCAGTCGCTGCCCCCGAACGCCGGAACCCTCTGACACATCCTGGCCATAAAATAAGGTTACACCCAACACTTGCTTCCTCAGCCCTTCACTTTTGAAGTCTTGCTTGGGTGGACATGATTGGCAGAGCACATGCCTGTGCAGGATTCATAAAACATGAATTCCCCAAATCTATGAGGGGCATTTTAAAAGCACGGGGCAACCAGAAACCATGACATTTCTACTTCAATATTCCTGGGCCCAAGCAATTAAACTGAAAGGCATTCAGGAAACAATTTGAGCAATAAAACTTTTGAACTGGAAAAATGTGTAAATAATTGTAAATCTGATAATGAATCTCAATGTGAATATCCAAGGAACTGAAAAGATGAAATTCTTAATTTTAATCATCTTAAATTCCAGGTTATTCCAACCCAAACTAAGAAACAATGTTTAGAAGAGAAGGAAAATGTAAAAGCATGCTAAATTTCCAATCTACGTAGGCAGTGTCAAGAAACACTATCTTATTTTAAACTTAGAAAAATACAAATTCAATCTTTTAATTTAGTGGTAACCTCAATGTTAAAAAAATAAAACTTCCCATCCAAATCACTTGCCAAAAGATAACAATTAGGAATACTTGAACAAAATATCAAAGAACAGGAAAAATGGCAGTGGGAGAATTATCCACACAAAGAAGCATAAACTGACGAGTATTACCAAATAATGAATGGATTAAGCATATAGTAAGAAAACCACTCTCAGATTGGAGCCAAGTAAAAAAATAAATCCTCCAACTATATGTCATTAACAAAAGGCACACTTAAAATGATTGAGAATGGATAAAACTAAAAAACCACACTTACACAGACAAATGCAAGAAAGCATTGATGGCAAATTTATGTCAAAGTGTGATACAGGATGAAAGGCATTGAACAGAATGAAGAGATGAACATGTTATGATGCTTTCTTTAAATGTCAGATGATACAGCATCAAATGTATGAAACAAAATTACAAATACAAAAATTGACACAAACCATGGATCCAGTGAGACTGCGAAGTGTTTGACAGATGACTTAGTCTATATACAAAAGGACTATATATATACACACACACACACACACACACACACACAGAGGGTGCAAAAAAAATGTGTACACACTTTAAAAAAGGAAAAAAATTGGGCTGGCCAGGTGGTGCGATGGTTAAGGACTGGCTTGGGATGCCGGAGGGCCCCCGTTCAGATCCCACATATGAGGGCCAGTGACACTGCCCTCTACAGCTAAGATGCTGAACAACAGCTCAACCTGGAGCTGGGCTGCCATGAGTCCAGAAGCCGGCAACTGATCTGCCTCGCCCGGGAAGAGCTGAATGATGGTGCCAAATTGGGCCAGTAAAGCAACGTCCTCCACAACTAGACTGAAGAACAAAACGACAGCAACTTGTCTGTTCCCCTTCCCCCAATTCCCCACCGCTGTTCCCTTCCCCCTAATTCCCCAATAAAAAATCTTTAAAAAAAATAAAAAAGGAAAAAAATTGTAATATATACCAATAACAAAAGATGAATACAAGTCACATTTGACTTATGCAATTACAAGAGGTGCTCAAAGTGGTTACCATCAGCATCCAGACGCTTCTGATTACGGCGAACCATTGCTTGAGCAATGTTGACCAAAGTGTCCACTTTTAATATATTGTGTGTATGTGTACATATATACTTGTGTGCCCCCAAAATTCATATGCAAAAGTTCTAAACCCTAGTGTGGATATATTTGGACATGGGGCCTCTAGAGAAGTAATTAAGGTAAAATGAAATTATAAGAATGAGGGCCTAGGGCCGGCCGAGTGGCGCGGTGGTTAGGAGTTGGCTTGGGATGCCAACTCTGAGCAGCAGGGCCCTGGTTCAGATCCCACATAGAGGGCCAGTGACGCTGCGCCCTCTACAGCTAAGATGGTGAACAACAGCTCGATCTGGAGCTGGGCTGCCATGAGTCGCCTGCGATGGCATAGGCTGCAGTGGGGCTGGCCAGCAGCTGGCGTGCACTTTCATGAGCTGCTGTGAGCCGCCGTGAGCAGCTGTCCAATGGCCAGTGAGCAACTGCCTCACCCGGGAAGAGCGCAATGATAATATCAACATGGGCCAGTGAAGCGACGTCCTCCACAACTAGACTGAAGAACCAAAGGACAGCAACTTGTCTGTTCCCCTTCTCGGATGCCCCAATGCCTCTCCCCCCAAATCCCCAATTTAAAAAAAAAAAAGAATGAGGGCCTAATCTAATAGAATTGGTGTCAGTGTCCTTATAAGAGACATCAGAGATCTCTCTCTCTCTCTCTCTCTCTCTCTCTCTCTCTCTCTCTCTCTCCCCCCCTGCTTGCACACAGAAATGAAGTCACAGCAAGAGGACTTCCCTGCCTCCAGGACTGTAAAAAATAAATTTCTGTTTAAGGAAAAAAAAGTTGTTACTTAAAACCACATCTTCATTCTTAAAATGGTGAATCTTAAAGAAGATTCTCAGAAGGTCCTTTGGATTTTGGAATCCAAAAAGCTAAACCTGGATTTTAGGTGAAAGAAGAGTCAGAGAAAATTTCATAGGTTTGCTTAAGAGGCAAGAATTTGGGATTATTGGGGGTACTCCAGGAATGGGGGGCTGAGGAGCAGAAATGGGGAAGGACAAAAGGAAAAAGAGGCAGCAAAATGGTGAGAAGTCAAGGTCCTATGTGGGGCAGCATAGCCAGTAAAAACCCTAGCAATGCAGTGGCTAAAATGGTTGTAAAAACAGAAATACAATATTTCAGTTGGAACTCTATAAATTCTACAGCTTGCAGATATCATATTGTGGCATATCTCAGCCTCCATAATTGCATGAGCCAATTTCTATAACAAACTTACATATCCTACTTGTTCTGTCTCTCTGGAGAACTCCAATACACTTCGCAGGATTCTTGCTAAAACTGGGCTAGGCAAGCGAAGATGGAACGGGCCAAGGTCAAGGCTTGGTCGGAGGATTCAGAGGAGCCAGTCTAAAGTTTGGTCAAGGAGAGAACCTGTGTCAAAGTTCAGCCTAGCCATGGAGAGGCCGCACCACAGGGAGAGGGCGGTGCCCAGCTAGCCTTCAGCTCTTCCAGCCATCCCAGCTGAGGCAGAGACATAAGAGTGAAGAAGTCATTTTGGATGGTCTGGCTCCAGCAGATGCCACATAGATAAGCTATTCCTCGTGAGTCCTACTCAAGCTGCATTTTCATGAGCACATAAACAATTGTTTTTGTTTTAAAACACTAAGTTTTAGAGTGTTTTGTTACATAGCAATAGGCAAGTGAAGTAGGCAGACTATCCCCATTAGTTAACCAGATAGACCGAGGCATGCCTGAATTCCCTGATGGATTCAACTCAGGCCCAGGCTGGGATGGTCCTGCTATAGCTGTATGCATGTCAGTCTCATCCTTTACGCTTACGAGAAACTTGAGCAAGAGTTATTATCTATTGGTATCCCTAGCACCTCTCAGAGTATCTGACACATAGTAACTTCCCAGTGTGTTCTTACTGGATTAGAGGCCAATGAGTGATCTGTAGCACAGATATTATCTAATCCACCAATTTCTTCCCCTTATTGCTTTCGGTCAAAACTCACGTCATGTTACTTAGACCTCCAGCAGTCCCCTCCCACCAACACACACAAATACATCACATCTCTTCTTTAACTCCTTTCCTCCTCCTGTTTTCAATTCTTACTCAACTATTTTAGGAAAATTTCTCTTGTCCACCTTTCCTTCTCTCTTCCACCCTTGTGAACCCTATCCCTACACAATAGCCACAACGAAGTTTGATAGGTTGAATTTAGTGGCGTGAGGAAAAGAACGTTTGGTAAAAATTAGATTTGAAACCAAGTGCCATCGATCTCTGAAGCCCTTTCATCATCTCCAAAATTTCCCATATCCAACTTCATCTTCCTTTAATTCAATCTGCTTTTCCATAAGCATTTAAAAACTTTATATTTGGTTACTATTTCTTTAATCATCAGTATGGTAGCAATATTGCTGTCTCCCCATTCAACTCCCCTTTTTCTTTGTACTTGTACAATATTTCAACAACAGTGTAGCGTTAAATAAGAGCTATGGATCTACCATAGAATAGCACTAAAAATATTAGGAAGTGTAACAATTTTAATATTGGTCTTTTTGTCTCTCTTACTTACATGGCTCTAAGAAAACAACTCCATGGTAAGTAGTACTACCCATATTAAAGCCTCAGACTACCTTCATTTCACATTTTTTCCATGTGTGTATATAAAATGTTAATTTTCTGAAAAGAAGTATTTGAATTTTCGTGATGCAACTAAAGTATGAAAGCAAAATCCTAAAGCAGATAAACTAAGTATTTTGAAGATTGGATTCACTTCATCTCTGAATGTTTTGTTTGGTTTGGTGATTGCATGAAGCTCTTTTTGAAGGAATCACATGCAATTTAGAAAGACGTAAGACTTATTTATTTGCACCAGCACCAAACTAATCCGGTAATAATAAATTACAAAGAGGACTGGGAGGCAGGAAATGAAGACACGGAGAAAAGTCAGGGGCTTCCAATCAGACTAGCTGGGCATCTATGCTCAGCCATCATTAGCGTCAATGGAAATTGCCTAACATCAGAGACTAAGCTTTTGGAGGGCTTGTTGTTTGTTTCTGTCATCTGTAAAAGAGAATACTTACCTTACTTTGTCCGTTTTTTGTTGTTTTGTTTTTTATAAAAGTACCTTTGTAGGTGTGGAATAAACAGCAGCTACTAAAATAGGAATAAAGGTGTGTGTTTAGTTGAAGGACGGAAGAGCTGAAACAGGGCTTTGCAAGTAACCCCAGGTATGCAAAAATACAGTGAATTTTAGTGTAGAGGATGATCTTCAGCTTAAAAAGGTATATAGTCTAATTTCTAACATTTTATACGGCTCACTGAAACACAGTGCCAGACTTTTGCTAGTTCCACAATTATAAAAATCCATTTTGCCAAGTTGAAAGCAAGCTGCAGGGCCCAGGAGCGGATAAAGATAAAACACAAAGCACATTTTCTTGCCTGCGCCGACAGCCTGCTCAGAACTACCCAGGGTAGATAGCACCATCCTGGACGTGGCGCGGCATGAAGATTTAACCCCATTTTAGCGACGGCGCATGCACCCCCAGTGTCTCATTTTGGGGACATATGAGAAGAAAAGGAATCAGGACCGTTCGTGGATCCTATCGCGAGAGGAGAGAGCCAAATGCCACGTAGGAGATTAAGGGCCCTAGCGACGAGCGACAGGTGCCGGAACAAACGGACAGCGAACCACCACGGGCGTGTAGGCGTCCCGGTAGGCAGGACTTCCGCCGGAAGACGGGGTAGCTGGGAAATCTCGACCCCGAGTTCCGGCTGGTGTGTCTCTCGGCTGGTGCGGGTCCCCTGCCCGTGTGGGCACAGGTGGAGATGGCTTGCGCCGCGGCGCGGTCCCCCGCCGACCAGGACAGGTGGGTCCCGAGAAAGGAAGGGGCTTGCTCCGAGCCCGCGCGTTGCTGCGCTGCCCCCGCTCCCGCGAACGGCTCGCCGGTGAAGCGCGGCCGGGCGGCAGGCTCTGCGCCTCTCCGAGCGGTCGTCTGTCCCGAAGGCCGGCAGCGCCTGGCTCCTCGCAGGGTCCCTGGGATCCCGACTTTAGGTAGCTCAGTGTTTACCTGTATGTGAGACGGAGGATTTTGGATGCTACGTGGACATGGCATTAAATAACAGTCACAGAGTGAGAACTCTGTTCTGTTCATTGGGACGTTCAGAAAGGCTCGTTTGGATTTTTTAGAGTTTTCAGTACTTTTGACACCGGAGGCCTTAAGAGAGCGGGGTCCACTCAAGAACCTTTGATAGGCAGTTGTTATCTAACTGAACAGTTACGACATCGTTTCTTAAAAAAAAAAAAAAATCTCTAGCAACTTGTTTTTTTCCGTCAAAGGTAGTGATTTAAAGTTTCTTTTTTAAGTAAGTTAAATAAAAGGGAGACAATTTAAAGAAAAAAACATTATGCAAATAATAGTATAGGTGTACCGGCAGTTGTGATAACAATGAATGAATGAATGGAGTTTTGGAAATACTGCTCTAGAGACACTTGCTGTGCTTTTTCTGTGACAGGTTTATTTGTATATACCCTGCTTATTTAAATAACAAGAAGACCATCGCGGAGGGCAGGCGAATCCCCATAAATAAGGTAAGCAGATTGGCACCTTGGTTCTTGAGGGATTGGGAGACGGTTTATTATTAAGGCCACAGAGGCTTCTTTACTGCATTTGGGGGAGTAGAGGTTGTGGAAAACAGTAGCCAAGAATTGGGGTGCTTTTCCTAATAATGGCGAAACCAGGAAGGCACTGATTCATAGCTGAAGGAATTTGCAAAGTGATTCTTCATGAGCTTGTGTTTGAAAAGGGAACGGGAAGGTTGTAGAGTTTGCACTGTGTTTATTTAAACCAGGGTTATGACAGTCACTCCTTGATTAAGGAAACCAAAATTATGCCACTGTACAATGTCCGTAATGTAGTTGAGTTTTCAAAGAAGACTTGCAGAAAATTCAGAGGTGCTGACTTTTAGTTTTGTTTCAATTATTTTTTTTCTTTTTTGAGATGGGTAAAGTTACTTTAAAAGTTACTTGGCATTAGGTAAGTGCCTAATGCTAAGTGAAGGGTCTTTGTAGAGGCTTTTGATTTTCAAAATCGGTGTCATATTCTGTTTTTTACAAATCACTTACATTTTGTCATCTAATGACAGATTTAAGGTAACTTGTTCTGAAGCAATGAATACTTTTTATGTTATTTAATGTCTCCTACTTTGCTGCTTAAAAGTGTAAAGGAAAGTCTGTTTTGCCGCCTCAGGGTAAAATAGAAAGATGCCAAAGCAGTAGTTCAGAATAATGCCTGACATCAAGCCACTCTAACAGGCCTGTGGTAGCAAGCTCTCACATAATTTGGAGAATAGTTAAGTTGTTTTTAACTTTATTGATGTATAGCATACATATACAAACATACATAAATCTTGTGTATTTTTTGGTTAATTTTCACAAAGTGAGTACACTTGGGTAACCAATGTACCAAATTTAAAATAGAAACCCTAATTTAAAAATAGAAAACATTACCAGCACCCAGGAAGTTTCCTTCATGTCCCCTCCCAGTCACTCTCCTCTCCACGTATACTCACTGTCCTGACTCACAACACCATAGATTACTTTTGCTTGTTTCTGAATTTTATTTAAATGACATTATACGTTATATGCTTTTGTGTCTGTCTTTTTTCACCAAACTTTAAGCTTATGAGATTTATCCACACTTTTGAGTATACTTTAATTCTCGTTGCTCTGTAGCAAGGTTTTTCAACAGCAGCACTGTTGACATTTTGAGCCAGATAATTTTTTATTGTGAGGCTGCCTTGTGTATTTTAGGTTGTTTAACAGCATCCTTGGCCTCAACCCACTAGATGCCAGAGCCCTCCCCCACCTACTAGTGACAATCAGAAATGTCTCCAAAGCATTGTCAAATGTCAGTTGGGGGCCAGAATGGCCTTGCTGAAAACCACTGCTCTGTAGTATTGCATTGTATGATATACCACAGTCCATTCTACAGTGGATAATTGGGTTTCTGATTTGGGGCTATTATAAATAGTGTTGCTGTGAACATTCTTTAGTTTGTCTTTTAGTGAACATAGTTTTTCACTTTTCTTGAATACATACCTAGAAGTGGAATTGTGGGGCCATAATAGTGCATATATTTAGCTTTAGTAGATACTGCCAAACAATTTTCTAAAGTGATTGTATCTGTAATAGTTGTTTAACCAATATTCATTGAGTACCTACTATGTTCATGTCAGGTGCTGGGGAATATACTGGTGAACAAAATAGCCTTGACCTTGTGAAGTTTATGTTCTGTTGGAATGTAGAGATGGACACACAAGTATGAATCAAGTTACCGTATTCCTGGCATTTTTTTTTTTTAATTACAATGGAAACAACTCTACCTAGTAGAAAAGGAAACCTAGGGTTTCGTATGTGTTTTGATCATAGTATTTGAAATGATTTACACAACAATATTGCGGTATCCACTTAAAACTAAGTTATTTAGTGTGTTTTTTTTTAATTTTTATTTTTCAGTTACAATTGCCGTTCACTATTGTTTTATATTAGTTTCAGATGTACAGCATAATAGTTAGAAATTTATATCATTTACAAAGTGACCCCGCTGTTAAGTCTAGCACCCATCTGGCACCATACGTAGTTATTACAATATTGTTGACTATGTTTCCTATGCTGTACTTTATATCCCCATGACTATTTTGTAAGCACCAATTTGTACTTCTTAATCCCTTCCCCTTTTTCACCCAGTCCCCCAACCCTTCTCCCATCTGGCAACCATCAATTTGTTCTCTGTATCTATGAGTCTGTTTCTGTTTTGTTTATTTGTTTTGTTCTTAAGATTCCACATATAAGTGGAATCACATGGTGTTTGTCTCTATCTGTCTGACTTATTTCACTTAGCGTAATACACTGCAGGTCCATCCATGTTGCCCCAAATTGGTAAAAAAAAAAAAAATTTCATTGGTTTTTATGGCCAAGTAATACTCCATTGTACATATGTGCCACATCTTTTTTAATCCAGTTTTCTATTGGTGAGCACTTAGGGTGCTTCCGTTATTTTGGCTGTTGTAAATAATGCTGCATGAGCTGTTAAGTGTTTTTGTTTTTAACTCTTCAGGCTGTTGAAAATCCTACAGCTACCGAGATTCAAGATGTGTGCTCAGCAGTTGGACTTAATGTATTTCTTGAGGTATGATGTGGTTTTTTTCTTTACTATTTTCCATATTCATCTCATTGATGTAATAACTTTCTTAAAGGCTGTATTTATTTATTTATTTATTTATTTAATGATAGAAAAATAAAATGTACTCCAGAGAATGGAATCGTGATGTTCAGTACAGGGGCAGAGTTCGGGTCCAGCTCAAAGAGGAAGATGGCAGCCTCTGTCTTGTCCAGTTCCCATCACGTAAGCTTTTTTTAATGAATAAATGAATGAAGTTTGGGGATAGGTTATTCCTCTACACTGCAGAAAAGGTTCTGCTCTTTTGAAAGTTAAAAACCATAATTTGTGTTCCACAGATTAATTTGAGAAAGGACTGCTGCTGATGGAGAGGTAAACAGTGGTTCCAACTTCTAAGTTAAGGACTTCTGAGAGTGTAATGAAACCTACTAATGGTTTCTTCAAAAAAATTATTGTGTGAACATTTTATAGACCTCTGGAAGTCTATCATTGCTCCCAGGTTAAGTATATAAAATTATTAAATTGTCAGATGTTAACTGCTTTCTCTCTGTTGCCACTTTTCTAAGTTCTCACTTATTTTGTTTTTCAGTTTCCTACTTCCTGCTGCCCAGTGTGTCATAGAATACATTTACTCCTCTTTAATTATCCATCCCCCTAAATTTCTTCCAGCTCCTCCCTTCCATAATGACCACTGTGTACATGTGCAAAGACCATCCATGCACATCCCCTACAGACCTAAGTGAGAATGTACCTGACATGTATCCCAGGGGTGTGATTGCCATGTTATAGGCCGCACGTGTTGTTCCATTTTCTCGCTTTCGTGTATGTATTTGCTGAAATCAACCAATCCACTGGTAATCACTATCCCACTCTTCTCTTTGCTGTTAGAAGTTTCAGATCCTAGACATCCTCACATCTTATAATTTCTATCACTAGTACATCTAAAAAGCCATATTTAGTGAAAAACAAGAGATATGCACAGTGTGATACCACTTAAGTTTAAATATAAAATAAGAAAACACAGTCTTAAGATAGTAGTTAACCTAATGGCAAGCAAGGAGTGGGGAGTGGGGCCGGGTTATGGTCAAAGAACACTGTAGCATTATCCCTAGTGTTTTATTTCTTAAAAAACAACAATAACTAACCAAACCTGGACATCAGAGCTCTAAAATATTGAATCTAGGTATTGAAAAGATGAGTATTTATTTACATGTTACTCTTTTCAGAATTTTTTTCGTTTTAAAAAATATTTTTTTTTAATGGAGCTTTTTTTTTTGACATAACACAAAACTGACACCTTGTTTTCAGTTGAATTAATATAGGCTAGTTTCTATATGAAAAAATTTGTCAGATATTTGACAAAACTTGGTAGCTATTTCTAGAAATTTAAGATTCTGACTCAGGAATGACAGATGTGTATATTCTAGTATGTCTTTTTCTCCTTTTTGACATCTTTCTAGACTACCTCTTAAAAGTAGAAAGACAAAGCAACAACAAACTTCGTTTAAAAATTATATTTGGAAAGATACTGTTATATCCTGTTTCCAGTAACCAAATAGTTACAAAGTAAAAAGAAAAGCTGAGGGGCTTGGTGTGTTGGGGTAAGGAAAGCAGCTACTGGAGCTGGAGGAGGAGGTTGGTGCGTAGAGCAGGCGTACATGAACTCATAAGTCACCTGAACATATAACATTTTTTGTAGCTTAATGACATTGGATTTTGGTTATAAGACTGAGTTTCCATAGTTTAAGTTACAATGGTATGCTGACTGTTTCCAACTTCTTATATTTAGATACATTCTCCTTTGATCTTCAAATCAATGACGAGGATCAAGACCAAAATTTTTGTTTCACACTCAGTATTTTAAATTGATTGTGTTTATTTAAATATTTCGGCATTGTTCTCAGTACTTTTCTCCACCAAAGGCCCCCCCCCCACTTGAATGAGTCATTGTCTTCACAATTATTTATTTTTTTCTTTTTAAATCCTTCTCATTTTTTTTGATGTGATAATTTCTTGAGCTTTATGGTATTCAAGTAAATGACCTATGTCTTATCTCAGATTATACACTAAGCCTTACTTCTGGTTCCTAGGTAAGTCGGTGATGTTGTATGTGGCAGAAATGATCCCTAAGTTAAAAACAAGGACACAAAAAACAGGAGGTGGTGACCAAAGTCTTCAGCAAGGAGAGGGAAGTAAAAAAGGGAAAGGAAAGAAGAAGAAGTGACCTGGTATGCGAGTCAAGGATGTGATACTACTGTAAGAGACATGAATGGAGATTTCTGATTTGTATCTGAGAGAAACAGAAGATTTTTGTTTGTATCATTTAACTGAACTGTGAACATTTGTGCCTCCCAGCTTCAGCATCAGAGTTGACAGTGACATTTATATCAGAAGTTTGCATCTAGCATTTATGCAGTATAAAATAATTTTTTTTGCCGTTCAGTGCAGTTTTTGTGGAAGAAAAGCATATTTTTAAATGAACAACTACCATACTTGAAATCTTATATCTGTCCTCTTTGTAAACATGTTTTCAGATAAATGAGTTTAATAAGATGTGAAACACATTTTATTCATATTTTAAGTTAATGAGATAAAATTCAAAACTGACTTTTGTAGCTTTTGCTTGTGAACTGATCAGTGTGAGTAGAGGAAATAAAGAGAATAAAATGGGTAGTGGAAGTTTAGTGTGAGCCTAAAACTGTAAAAAGTGGTTCAGTCCTCTTGGAGGTCTATGAACAGCTCATCTGTAGAGCATATTCTTTTAATCAGTTACTGTTATTAAATTGTTCAATTACTAGTTTATTGACATATGAAAAGTCCTGGAGTTTAGTTTTAAATTTGCTTATTTTGTGTAGGCTTAAGAACATTATTTTAACTGGAGTTCTAAAATTACCTATGCTTTAGCACCTTGAGATGCAATTTTTTTCAAGAAACTAAATTGAGTTGGTGATCCTGACTTTATTCCAAAGCACTGTTTCTGAAGGTGGTGGTTCTTGAAAAATGTAAGCGAATCCCTATCCAGCCGCGTGTTTTTGTCTACTGCGTACCTCCTAGGGAACTGCCTTCTCTGACTCCATATGCTTCTGGAAGGGCTATTACTGCGCCCCAATGTTGAGGTCAGTGATGGGCCACATACACAACGGTGGTCCCATAAGACTATAATGGAGCTAAAACATTCCTGTCGCCTACTGACGGCTTAGCTGTTGAAAATTTGGAGTACAATAGTGCATTACTCGTGTGGGGTGATGCTGGTGTAACAAACGTGCGCTGCCAGTTGTGTACAAGTACAGCACATGCAATTATGTACCATGTACAGTTCTTGATAGTGACAATAAATGACTGTTACTGGTTTATGTATTTACTATGCTTTTGTAATTCGTTCAGAGTGTATTTCTACTTATAAAAAAAAGTTTGCCGTTAAACAGTATGCCTTGTTACACCAGCAACAGCTTCATACATCTTGTGTTTACTGCATCTCTTCATTACATCATCTTCTCTTGTACTTGATTTATTCTTGTGTTTTAAAATTTCAGTGTAATGTGGGGCTTGAGGGGAGGGCAGAAGCCTATGTGCTTTGATTTTGCGTCTTAAAAAAAAGATACAAGAAAATAAAAATTTAGTATAGTCTAAGTGTACAGTATTGATTAAAGTCTCCAGTAAGGTCCTAGGCCTTCACGTTCACTCACCACTCACTCACTCACTCAGCAGAGCAGCTTCCAGTCCCATAAGCTCCATGCATGGTAAGTGTCCTAGGCATGTGTGCCATTTTTAAATTTCTCATACAGCATTTTTACTGTGCCTTTTCTATGTTTAGATAAACAGATAATGTTGTGTTGAAATTACCTGCAGTACTCAGTACAATAATATGCTATATAGGATTGTAGTTTAGGAGCAAAAGACTATACTATACAGCCTAGATGTGTAGTAGGCGACACCATCTCATTTTGTGTAGTTTATTCTGTGATGTTCGCACAATGACAAAATTGCCTAATGAAGCATTTTTCAGAACATACCTCGTTGTTAAGCATCGCATGGCTATAGTTATAGGACTGCATCCTAACCACAGGATATGGGCCAGGCCAGGCCAGTGGATTATTTCTCAGGAATTTAAATCTAGAGTAGAAACAATGAAGTACAGATGGTTATGGGAGCTAAGATATCTCATGGTCTACAGATTTCAGCTATCCTGATTCCTGTTCTCCTGAGGCCTGGTTTAGCTCTTCTGTGAATTCTATGAGCAACCTCATATCCTTTCAGTAAATCCTATTTTCTTTATGTTTTTATTGCTTGAGATCAAAGGATTCCAATTGGTTAAATAAACGAATCCAGATTTTCAGAGCTTTAAATGGTGTTACACACCCAGGCTGTATGAAAATGATCCATTGGTGTACAGGAAGAAGCACTGGGATTTCTTTTTTTTTTTTCCCTAAGAATTTCCATTTTATAGTGAACATAGTATATAGCAGTTTATATATTTGACTTATAGATATTAGGGCAGTATGTGCAAAACCTGGATTCAGAGCAGACCTCTTTAGGAAAGTGTATCACTTAGAACTGTCTTTGGTGTGTGACAGGAAACAATGAGGGACTTAAGGAGTTCATTTTTTTCAAGTATAATATGAAATCCAAGCATAGGAGTTGGTTCACCTGCTCAGTGATGCGCTCATATCTTTCCACTCTACTATTCATGTCATGTTTCTAACATCCTTATGATTGTTTTCTCAAGCTTGTAAAAGGGCTGATACAGCACCAGACATCACATCAGAGTTTAAGGCAGAAAGAAAAGTAGCTGTGCCAGCCACATCTGTGCCCCTCCCTTAAAAGGAAAGCAAAAGATTTCTGAGAATCCCTCCCCAGCCAACTTTCACTTAAGCCTCATTGTCAGGAACTGGGGCACATGTCCCTCTTCAGCTGCAGGGAGGCTGAGAAAGTGAACATGGAGCATTTTCAGTCCTGACAGTAGTGGCAGCCAGGAAGAAAGTTAAGGATGGATATCAGAACAGCCAACTTAAAAGATTTGTCACAGAAAGGTGACTAAAATCGGAAATTGTTTTAGTTCGGAGGTAGTAAGGATAGGAAGGTGTCGGAACTAGCTGTAACATCGCGTTGCTGTTTCTTCATATTGTTGCAACCAGTGCAAAATTGAACTTTGCCAATCAAATGAAAAATGGTGTCTTTCCTGATGAGCAAGATTGAGCATTCATATGTTGAAATACCATTTGTATTTACTTCAATGAATTATGTTCACATCCTTTGCCCATTTCTTAAGGACTTTATCATCAATATTGTACATAATTTAGAGAGACAGCTAGTTTTAATAGTTTCAATTTTAGGTCTGAGAGGATTTAATTTTCCTTCCTTTACCCCCAATACATGCATGCCTGCTCCCCATCTTCCCTCCTGCCAATTACCAATATATTTCAGAATTTTAATGACTATTAATAGTTTGCATTATTATCATATATTCTATTTGTAGCTGAGCCATTAGTACCTTTGCTACTCAAAAGTGTGATCAGGGCGCCGACCGAGTAGCGTGTTGGTTAAGAGTTGGCTTGGGAGCGCGAGCTCTGAGCAACAGGGACCCGGTTCAGATCCCACGTGAGGGCCAGCAACGCTGCATCCTCTACATCTAACAGTGAACAACAGCTCGACCTGGAGCTGGGCTGCCGTGAGTCACCAGCGACAGCATAGGCTGCAGTGAGCTACTGTGAGTGGCCGGCAGCCAGCGTGAGCTGCCGTGAGCGGCTGTCCAGTGGCTGGCGACTGATCTGCCTCAGCCAGGAAGAGCGTAATGATCACAAATCAACATGGGCCAGTGAAGTGACATCCTCCACAACTAGGCTGAAGAACAAAAGGACAGCAACTTGTCTGTTCCCCTTCCCTGATTCCCCAACGCTGTTCCCATCCCCCAATTCCCCAGTTTAAAAAAAAAAAAGTGCGGGAGCTTGTGAAGAATGCACAATCTCTTTCCCCAGCCCAAAATTCAAATACATTAACAAAATTCCCAGGTGATTCTTATGCACATTAAAGTTTAAGAAACACTGAAGTATGCTATAGATAATTTCATTTTCTGGACATGATTTCCTTGGAGATTTTTTTCTCTTTTTTATTATATTATTTTCAAATGCTCTTTCAAAAAGTTTGTTCACATCAGGTAGTTTATTAATTTTTTTTTCCTCAACAAAAAGGATTTATTTGGGGGGGTGGGAAAAAGGATTTCAGTCCGGGATGTGACATGCCCATCCTGGTGGGGGTTTCTGCTTGGAGAAAATGGAGGAAGTACTTTATAGAGGGGAAGAGGACGTTAAGGAGAGGGGCAGTCAAGGCCTGGGAACTCTGCCCTAACCCTATTTCCTCTAGGCTCTCCCAATGACATGGGTGGGAGACCTTCCACACGCCTTTCCCATTCCTGTCTTGGTTAAGTTCTCTGTCATAAATTTTGACACCCAACCATCTTCCCGGGGGCCTCTGAGGCATCAACCCTCCACACAACCTCTGGACCACCAGGCTCATGGGCACTCAATTCAGAAGAAAGCTGCCAACCCTGGCGCGCACCCTGAGGGTGGGGTTTGTCCCCTCCAGCCCTACCGCCAGCAGGCTGCCCATGAACCCCCTGAGGATCAGCCAGACCCCCAAGAAGGCTTGGGGCTGCAGTCCGGGCCTTCTGAGTCTCGGGCTCTTTGAGGAAGGCTGCCGATGCAAGGGCATGGTCCAGGATGGCGGCGCCTGCAGCTCTTAGTTTCATCTTTAAAAGTCGCTTCTGTGAGCCTTTTGCCTGGCTCTAATCTCTCTGTCTCTCTTTTTTTTCATTTTATTGTCTCAAAAGATGGTTTATTGTAATCACCACCATCTTACATGTGTTTGACAATCTCAGGGAAGGTTAAAAGTACCAATGAACAGCTGTTTCTACAGAGCATATATCTACTACTTTTAAAAATTCTTATCCAAAACCAAAAAATAAATAAAAATTCTTATCCATTCAAAAGAAGCCAAAATAAGGTGGTCACCCCTTAGGCCTGGTGCCCAGCTTCATTCTGGGTTCTCTTCACCATCACTGGAGTGTGACTTCACTGCTTTGCTGTTCTGGGTACCCTGTATCAGTCAGTGTATGCTGTGTGCTCCTCTTACGGTTACTTGTTTTGTGGACCCATCCTCCAAGATCTTCCTGGGAAAAGTGCTAGGGAGGTAAATGTTCTTAGGCCTTGCGTGTCTGAAGGTGTCATCATTCTACCCTCACACTTTGTGGCTGGGTATAGAATTAGAATTGGAAATCATTTTATTTCAGAAGTTCAAGGGCATTACTTCATGGTCTTCTGACTTCTGTTACAAGCTGAAGCTTTGGAAGTCCAAGCCATTCTAGTTCCTGGTCTTCTGTGACCCACATTTTTTTGTTGAAACCCACAACCATATCAGAATAAAAGTATTCTGAAATAATAGTGTGCTTTGTGTGGGTCTTTTTTTGTCCATGGTGCTGGGTATTTAATGAGCCCTTTCGATCTGGAAACGTATTTTCCAGTTCTTGGAAATTTTCTTGAAAATTTTGATTTTTTTTCTCCCTATCCTGATCTTGGACTCCAGATTTGAATATTGGACCTGCTGGACTAGTCCTCAAATTTTATTATCTCTTTTCCCTCTTATTTCCATTTATTTGCCTTTATGTTCTATTGCCTAGAATTCCTCAGCTTTATCTTCAAACCCTTCTATTGAATTTTTCATTTTTCTTGTATTTTCAACTTCTTAAAGCTCTCCTGTGATCTGAATGTTCCCTTTTTCAAGCATTCTGTTATTTCATGAATGTATTTTCTTATTTCTCAGAGGATATGATTTATATTCTTTTCTAAGTTTCTCTTTTTTCTTGTTTTTGTTTTGATCCCTGTCATGTTAAGTGGCTTTCCTTAGATCGATGGTTTCTTTAAGAGTGAAATATCAAAAAGCTGACTGAAGTTCTGAGCTCAGAAGGGCTTGCAGACTGAGTTTCACTGAAGGGATATCTGGTTGAGATGTTTTTTGGGGGGAATTTCCAAGATCAGGGGTGTTTACTCTTAAGCTGATCTGCTTCCCCAGAGACAAGTTTAATAAGCTCCCTGGAGAATAAGGATCTGGGAGCCTCATGGGAGAAGGTGGGGTGGGGAAATGGGTCTCAGCATTGGGTCACTCAATCCTATTATTACAATAGTACAACTGTCCCTCAACTCTGCCTGTGTCTCCCACTCCAAATATCCTATTACAGTGTCCAGAAGATAAACCTCCAGTCTTTTACTTGAATAGGGATGGGGTAGTTTTTCAGCAATTCTTTTTTTAGTTTTCAATATTAAGATTGCTCTATACAGTTATTTTGATACTGGGTGTGACTTTATAAAGAAATTTCTGTATCCAGAAAGACTAGTGGGATAGGCAGAATAATGCCTCTCCCAAACCTGTGAATCTGTTACTTTACGTGAGCAAAAGAGGCTTTGCAGCTGTGATTAAGGATCTTGAGCTGGAGAGAGGACAGACATAACTCGGAGATAATGTGGGTTTGGTTCCAGACCACTGTAATAAAGTATCACAATAAAGAGTCATAATCTTTTTGCAGGTGGAGGGTCTTGCCTTCAGTTTGTAAAAAATGTCCAAAAAACAAAAAACAGCACCTGTGAAGCACAATAAAGCACAGCGCTACAAAAGGATCTGCTTGTAGCCTGGGTTATCCCAGTGGGCCCAGTGTAATCACATATAAAAGGGGAGCAGAAGTGGCCGTGCCGGAGGGCTAGATTCCGAGGAATTCAGGCAGAATCTTGAAGACAAAAGTAAGGAAATGGATTCTCCTCTACCGTCTGCAGTGGGAAAGCAGCCCTGCCAAGCCATTTTGGATGCCTGACCTCTACAACTGTAAGCTAATGAGTTTATGTTGTTTTAAGCCAATATATTTGTGGTAATATGTTACAGCAGCCATAGGAAACTAGCACATCAGATGGAACTATCCAGTTGAGACAAGCTCTCCAGAACTTGGGATTCTTGGCCTCATTAGCAGTCTCTACTCGGTGGTTCATAAGGCTGGCTACATATTCGAGTCACCTAAGAGTTTTTACAGCATACTGGCACCTAGGTACCACAGTAGACTGTCAGAGTTTCTGGTAGTGGAGTCAGATACCAGTATTTTTGAAAAACTCCCCCAGTGATTGTAATGTGCAGCCAGGTCTAAAAATCTCTGTATACTAAGTGTAAAAATAGCATTTACCTAATCCAGTGGTTTTACCTCAAAGTGTGGTTCCCGGATCGTCAGCATCACCTGGGAACTTGTTGGAAATCCAAATTTTTCAGCCTCACCCCCAGACCTACTGAATCGGAAACTTTGGGGATGGGGCCAGCAATCTGTGTTTTTGTTTGTTTGTTTGTTTTCAGCAGAGCCATCCTGCCACCTGTTGGCAGCTCAGCGGCTGCTCAGCTCGGGCCGGGACTTGAACCGCTGTTGCTCAGAGCTCAAACTCTTGAGCGAGCTCTTAACCAACTGAGCCACTCGGCTGGCCCTGCAATCTGTGTCTTTAACCACCTGCTTCCCCCAAGAAATTCTGAAGCACACTAAAGCTTGAGAACCACTATCTAACCAAAGAGCGCCTTTATTGCTCTAAATTTCTATGAGGTGTGTGTTATAAAGATGTTATAATATTGTAAGTAGCCAGAAAAACTTAAGGTCATTCTCAACTATATTTACTTTCCTGCTGTACTATACAGAAGTGTAGTGTCTGATGGCTAAGGATCTGAATTATATGTTATTCTAAACACATACAGTTTGTAGACATGTACAAACATGTGGGAGACAGGGCTAACGCATCCTCCAGAAGTAGGTATTTTTAATAAAATCCTTATGTTCTTGGTCTCAAAACAAAGTACTGAATAATTTGGAGGCACATATCAGAAGTGTTTACTACATCAAAATATGTACACGAACTTTTATCATATGAGACTTTTGTGTAATTGCAATACAGGGGTAGAAAGCAGTGGTTTAGATTTCCTTTACATCTAGTGCTCATTGTTGATAGAAACTTGGTTTGGATGGTACATTTTCTCTAGGGAAAGCCTTTCCGTTGACAGGTAGTAATCACCAGGGGAAAATGATAGGCCAAGGGAGGAATTAATAAACAGCAGTGTTGAAGGTTCATTGATCTGTATTCAGATTTTGCATAAATTCTAGATTTTTTTTTAAAGCCCCACAAAATAAAATGAGATAAAACAGCTCAATGAGATAATGGAACTTTATTTACATCCATTTCCATTTAATATATCACATCTTCAGGATAGGCGGTAACTTACTCAAGCTAAGCTCGTGTTCTCCAGGCTGTGGGCAGGAGACTCCCAAGTAGCAGTAACTGATGATCTGAAACCTTTCACGCTGAGGAAGAATGGCCGTAGGGATTCTGTAATTTGACTTCCCCCCAAAATACCATTCATGTACAAATAAATGCTCCGCTTCTAGCTAGACACAGGCTCGATTAGTTTCTCAAATATTCTAGCCATGGCAATATATTACTTGGGAAATCTAAACCGAGGCAGACTTGTTCAACTCTTAGCTTGTCCTGTCTCTAATATGTATGCTTGGACTGCCAAAAACAGCAACAGATTTCTTCCAGAATGCACATAGTAGAAAGCTATCAGGACAAACAATTTGCATTCAGAATATATTTTCTTACTATAGTTTTCAAACAGGTATTAGCCTAGTTATGAGCAAAGTAACTTATGACTCCCATCTTTCCTGATAATACATTATCTATACTAACAATCTATAGGTTCTGTGTGCTAAAAGCTGCTAATTTTCATTCTTTTGCCACCAAGAAAAGTGTACTTTATTTACGGGGAAAAGGATTTAAATACTCCTAGAAGTACTTTTTTTTTTTTTAAATCTGAGGCTTGATTTTCTCCCAATAATTGTTTGCTCTCTAAAAGTTTTGTTTTTTTCCCTTTAAGGTAAGTTTAATAAGATGCGTTATGATCACTACTACTTTTCTCAGAAAAAATAAATAAATGCCCTGATCCACAGTATAATATTTGAGTGATATTGTCCCGTATTTTTGATATCTAATATTTTTTACATCATGAGACATCATTATCTTACCTGTTATCAAAAGGAAAACTAATCATCTTTATTTGCCTCAAAAAATATTTTACAGGCTGGATATTTAATCTCGGTAGTTTTGTGCTACTCTTGTTTTAGTTTCATCTAATTCAGAGGATCCCAGCAGTATGGCTGAGGTAAAGCTCAGTTTTTCTAGTCCAGACAAATTGTCGTGGTCACTATATAAGCTACTTGGCTGATCAACCTGGAGACACTGATTTTTAATTGTACTATACTTAAACTATGTAGTTATGTGCAATTTATCAAAACAAAGCATAAAGATGAAGGCATTTACATGGACTACCAATGATTCTGACTTGCAAAGTAGGGAGGCCTCCTGTGTTTGACCTTAAAGGGCAGAGAAAGAAGGTGAAGGCAGTCTGCCTTAGCCACTGCCAACTGGAGCAGGATAGGTTATAACACACTTCCTTCCCATCTCCCACAAGTGCTCGTAGAGCCTGTGTCATCATTAGCATGTAGCTGCTAGCTAATGATATAAACAAGAATGTACATGTAATCAGAGGTGCGCAAGTCTCTGGAGGTTCCTTACACTGGTTTTAGAAAAGACTGGGCGAGACACAAGACTAAGCCAACATGTTAGCCTTGAAGGTGAAACCAGAGGTGGTTTCCATTTTAGTATCTCAAAAACTGACAAAGCTATAGCTTATATGCAGGTATTTAAAAGGCCACAAGACTGTATCACTAGTTCTGCAGGGACCTGGGAGCTGTCGATTCCTGCTGTGTGTGTGTACATGTCCCCATTTATCACCAAAGTGACTGTTCTAGTGTTCAGCTGCTACAATATTAGAAAAACAACCAGGCCAACCTCCATTCAACCTCATTTATCACTTAAATGTCCATTTGAAATGTCACTTGTATGTATTAATTTCCTGAAGTATTGTTTAGCAGATCACACCAGCACAATGGAACCTTCAGCGTTTGGCAGGTGCTCTCCATGAGCACAGGAGAGTAACACTCCCCTACCTATGTGTGTGCGCAAATACATGAAAAACACTTCATACAAAATTGTACGTTACACGAAGTAGAACCTTAAAGAGTATCCTGAAATACAAGTACAGAGAAAATGCATGCAGAGAGAGCCGATCGAAGTACAAAGCCTGTTGGGTTGTATAAGTTTACTTGAATTTTAGATTTAAGTAACATGTCTTTTCCTACCCAGAGGCAAAATATATTTTCTGAAAATTTGGACACAGCCCATTGCATTAAATTTAAATTTCAATGCTCCCTAAGTATAGAGACAGTCCAAGTGAGCAAAAACAAACAAAAAGAAAACCCTTACAACACATTCCTTTTTTTAATATATCAAAAATGTTTCCAAGGCAACATTATTAAAATGATTATACCACAGTCCTTAACACAACATCAAGCTCTAATAGGAAGGTACAGAGAGGGCAGGAAGGTTTCCTCCATCAGTGGCTTAGGTGCTCTTCTTTTCTTCACCCAGTAAATTCACGGCAGCTTTCTTGGCTGTTGGGAGGAAAGGAAATTATATATCAAAACTATTCGCTATATAGGCTCTGGGCTTAATGTAGCTACCGGATAACAACTGGATGACTCATGTTCAGATAAGAACACACTGAGGTTTGTGATCAGGGCTAAAAAAATTTCCAGGAAATGGACAAGAAACTACTTCAGGGCACAAATTCTGAGCACTTGAGCGAAGTTCTTACAGGTCTTGTGGCTCGTCCCCTGGTAGTGTCCTGTCGCCTAAGCCCTCTGTCCTCCTTTAAGCATCATGAGCAGCAGTTCCCTTGGATGTATGGGGTCCTCTGTGCAATCAAGAAAGTCTCATGTGCGTCTGGGTGCTCCCTGTACAAACTCACCATGTCTCCATCTGAGGACAACCAGGTCACCCATCTATTCCGTGGTGACAGAAATCAGAGCAAGTCCTCATTCCCTGAATCCAGAAATGATGGTGTGTTTATACACGTTTATATTCTCTCAGTGGGCCACCATTTCCTGCTATGATGGGAAGGGTATCAGGGCTTTGAGTTGGTGGGAAGATACTACATTCATCAAGGAGGTATTCTTACATCTGTGGGAGGCTAAGCCTCCCCCTTCCTAATCACCGAGTAGCTTGGAATGTGCTGTAAGAAGGAGTGTTGTGTGTGAGATGGAGGGAGGGAAAGGGTTTTCTGGAGGCCACCAGGACCTCCTATGAGATCCCACAACTGCAGCTGTTTCGGATGGAGCCTGAGTCTAGTGGTGAGCGCCACGGAGACCCGCCTCACAGCTGCTCTCCCTTTATTCAGTTAAAATTGCTGAACAAAGAAAAACTTGCAGCCTCTTTCTCAACTAGCCCTTTGTAAAAATTTACTTCCTGGAGAATCCAGAAGCTTAGAGAGAAGTCTAAAATGTGTCAGTTCTCAAATGTAAGTTCCTCCTTATTTTCATTCTCACACCCCTGTTTAGGAATGTATCCTACTGTAAAATTGAAGTAAAATGGATTTTAGAGTATTAACATCTAAGAGAACCAAGAGGCTAAAAGATGTGGACGAAGTAAACAGAAATGACATCAGCAGAGGTTGCTGGTCAGGCTAAGGGCAAGGCAGAACCGAAAAGAAAGTTCTTAAATTGTAGAAAAATGTATGGACGTAGACTGGGGCTCTATGCAGAGAAATAGGAGTTCAGAGGAGAGCGGTCTGTGAGGGGGAAGTGGTCAGGACATGTCACTGCTGCTGGAAAACTGTCTCGGCGGGTAGCTTACCTCCCCAGCAGTCAGCTCACCTCTTATCTCCCACTTTCTAATGACCATTTCTAATGACCATAGAGCTCTAACAACAAAAGTCCCTAATTCTATGTCCTTTGCCTACTTTTCTCCAGTTTCTGAAAACCCTCTGGAACTTAAGACCCATCACGAGCAAAACTTCCTCTATTCTCATCCATTTCCCTGGGTGTTTCCTGTACCTTCATGCACTTACAGAAATACGCCTGTCCCCTGAGGACATTGCTTTCTCAGGTGGTGGCTGTTGTTTTTGCTTCCACAACCCTAGTGCCACTGGGTCTGGAGGTCTGGTAAGTGTTATCTTTGTTCTTCATTGACATCCAGAATCTCATGTCATCAGATTATGTCTTCCACTAGCATTCCTTTTTCCAGTCATCTCTGACCCTTGGGCTATGCTTCCTTATTTAAGATTTTAGCTCCAAAGTGAATATCACTCTCTAATACCTCTCCTGTTTTAATTATTGGTGATTTCAATATCCACGTAGATGTACGCGATCCTTCCCAATATCCTGACCTCTTAGTTCTGCTCCACCAATAAATAACCTTTATGTTTCATCCTCCTCACGCCCTCCACAGGCACTCACCCACGATCCTTGTCACTACCGATCACTGTAGTCCCTCTCTAATCTCAGCCTCGAGGACCCCACTCTCCACCATCACCACCTACCTTTGCAGCTCACTCCTTCTGTCATCTGGATTCGGAGTTCTTCCCCCACCACCTGGCTTTATCATCCATTGATCTCACCACCTTCTCCACTGTTCCTCACTTTGCTCCATCATCAAACACTAACCACTCCTTAGTCCCACTCTCACTTCAGAGTTCTTAACAAAATTAACCTTGATATGACTCTCCACCTGTTCTGCAGCTGCACCCATGTAGCTGAAGGCGGTTGGAGGAAACCCCAAACAGATGAACCAGTTTTACTTTAAATTCATGGACACAAATCTCAAGTGAGTCTTTACTACCTCCTGGCAATCACATGACACGGTCCTGGTCCATTCACTCTCCCACCATCTTAGAGGGGCCAGCAGACTACAGCCACGCTCAGGGGCTGTCTATAGCTGCTTTCACACTGCAGTTGGAGCTGAGGAGCTGCGACAGGAACCTGATGGCCTGCGGCAACTAAAATAGCTGCCCTTTACAGGAAAAGTTTGCTGACTCTGCCCCCAGACAACTAAAGAGGGGATGCCATCCCCTCTTTCTATCACTTCCTTCCCTATCCTCTCACTTGACCTTTTCTTCCTACTTTCCTGAGAAAGTTGAAGCAATCAGAAAATCACTTCTATAAGCTCCCACTGTCACATGTCCTTACGTACCAGCATCTTTACCCATAAACCCCGATGTCCCTCCCTTATTATTATTAAAAACTGTTTCTGCTCCTCTGACCAGTCCTCTGTTTGTACACTAGATCCTATCTCCTCTGGGCTACTCAAACACAAGAGCCCCAGCATTTCACCCTCTCACTTGGATCATTTTCTTGCTATTTACTGGGTGGTTCCCATTAATTTTAAAACACACTTTGTTACTTTCACCTCAAAGGAAAAGAAAAAAAAAATCCTCAGGACCCTAGTTCCTTCTTCCAGTGATAGCCAAATACTTCCACTCTTTTGGGGGCCTTGGGGCTCAGTCCTTGGACTTCTTCTTTTCTAACCACGTTCACTCCCTTGGTGATCTCAGTCTCATGCTTACTATACTGTCTATATGCTGGTGACGCCAAATACGTCTCTCAAAACAGTTGTCTATATTCCCTCGTGCCTTTCCTCCCATTTCTCTCAACTCCATTCCAATCAGGGTTTCGCTCCCACCACTCCACACAGTCTGTTTTGTCAAGATCACCAGGGCCTTCCTCACCGCTAAATCCAATGGTGGCTTTCAGCCCTCATCTCACTTGCCCGATCTGCAGCATGTGACATGGTGGAGCTCTCCAGCCCTCCTGAAAGCTCTTTCTTCACTCGGCCCTGATGATAACATGCTCTCGTGGTTTTCCTGCTACCTCAACTGGCCACTCCTGATCAGTCTGTTTTGCTGGTTGCTTCTCATCTCTCCAATCTCTAAACATTGGGGGCCCTGGGGCTTCTTTTCTAACCACATTCACTCCCTTGGTGATCTCAGTCTCATGCTTACTATACTGTCTATATGCTGGTGACCCCAAATTAGTATCCCAGCCCAGGCCTGTCTCCTGACCTTTTGATACCTATATCCAACTGGCTGCTTGACTATTCCATGTAGGTACCTAGTGGACACCTCAACGGTATGTGCAGAACTGAATTCCTTATGTTTCCCTCTTAACCTGTAACAGTCTTTCCCAGCTTGATGGCAATTGTATACTTCTGTCTGTCCAGGCTAAAAAGCTTGGCCTCATCTTTGACTCCTCTCTCCTACTCCATGACTGATCCATAAGCAAATCCTATTGGTTCTACCTTCAAAATCTATCAAGAATCCAATTACGTCTCACCTCCTCTGTTACCATTACAGACCAAGCCACCACCTCATCTCCAGCCAGATCACTTCAGTGACCTGTTATCTGGTCCGATTTCCTCCTGGTCTCCCTTCAGTCTACTCTTAATACAGAGGCCAAGTGTTCTTTAAATAATGGATCATGTTGCTCCTCTGCTGAAAGTCCTCCAACAGCACCCTGTGTCACACAGCACCCCATGTCACACAGCACCCCATTCACACAGCACCCCATTCACATAGCACCCCATGTCACACAGCACCCCATTCACACAGCACCCCGTGTCACACAGCACCCTTCACACAGCACCCCACTCACACAGCACCCCGTGTCACACAGCAACCAATGTCACAGTACCCCATTCACACAGCATTCCACACCACCACCCCATGTCACACAGCACCCCATGTCACACAGCACCCCATGTCACACAGCACCATGTCACACAGCACCCCATTCACACAGCACCCCGTGTCACACAGCACCCTTCACACAGCACCCCGTGTCACACAGCACCCCATTCACACAGCACCCCGTGTCACACAGCAACCAATGTCACACAGTACCCCATTCACACAGCATTCCACACCACCACCCCATTCACACAGCACCCCATGTCACAAAGAACCCCTTTCACACAGCACCCCGTGTCACACAGCACCCCGTGTCACACAGCACCCCATTCACAAGCACCCCGTGTCACACAGCAACCCATGTCATACAGTACCCCATTCACAGCACCCCACACACCACCCCTTTCACACAGCACCCCGTGTCACACAGCACCCCATGTCACACAGCACCCCATGTCACACAGAGGCAGAGCCGAAGCCTGAAGACATGACAAGATCTGTCCCCTTCCAGCCTCCACTCCCAACCTCTCTGACCTTGTCTCCTCCTCTTCTCTAGATCATTCTCTTCCAACCATACTGCTCCCACCTGCAGGCTTTCGCACGTGCTGTCCCTTCTGTAAGGAAGGAAGTCATTTTTCCTAATATGCTGACTGAAAGGTGCATTAAATGTGGCGTGGAGGAAGAATCTTGAGAAACGTAAAGGGCAACCGGCAAAGTCTTGGTAAAGAAATCCCTGCGTAATTGTATTTGCTTGAGGAATGCTAACTGGACAAGAAGGTCCAGAAGCTTACTGTTTGGACCGAGTGTATCACATCTCCTCTCACACGTTGGACCAATCTGTCCCCGGGCCTTACCTTCTTTAGCGATGGCATCTGCAGTCTCTTTGGCTCTGTCCTTCAAGTCATTCACCACATTGTCTACCTGGGATTCGTGCTTCAGGAAGAAAGGTTGGATGATGCGTCTGTAGAGCAGTTCTGCCCCGTTCGAGGGGCTGGGGGCCATGCACCACAGCAGGAAGCCACACTGCACAGAAGGAGGGACAGTGTGGTCACAGGGGGGGCAGCGGACACCCCAACAACACACACGGCCCACTGACACTCGGGGACGGCCCTGCCCCTGCCATTTCCTCCAATAGCATCTCCAGTGTTTGCTACAAGCTACAGGTGGGCTTTTTCTTAGTAGAAAAAAAATGTGACAAATAATGGGCTAGTAAGGAAAAGCTGAGACTGAAAAAGAAAGGTAAAACACACCAAGTCCAGCAGCACCTTAACCTTTTCACTGCATTAATTGAATTCAAGTTTTTTCTCCAAAATGTGTCAAAAAATCCACAAAAGTTGAACGTCGCAGTGAAAGTTAACTTCCTTCCTAACTTGGATGGCCATTTAGTGTATAACTGTATGAGACTTTTATTAGTTATAACTCTAAAAAATCAATCTAAAAAATACAGTACTTATTTGCATGTGTAAAGCCCTGTATACATAAGCCATCTATGAGGCTTCTTCTTAGTGGGTTTACCTTGGTAAGTTTGTCACATTTATTAATCCACTTATTATAGAAAAAATACCTTGGGCATTCTTAAAACCTTCCCATAGAGGAATCTCAGTTTTTGGTAGATCTTAGCCTTCACGGAATCTGTACAGTCAGGTGATCCTCTGTCACCTTGAATGTAGATATTATTCCTAACTGTTTCTTTATGACTCTACTTTGCCATTGAGATTTTCAAAATTGACAAGAATTCTACCCTAAAAACTTAAAAAACAAGAATATTTACACCCTAAATAATTTTACTGTTTATTCAATGATACATAACAAGTCAACACTTCAAGTTGCCCAAGCAGTTTATTCCTCTATAAGATAATGAGCAAAAAAGGGAATATTCAGAGTGATAGGTTCATTTCCCTGGAAAGTTTAATAAACGACATACTGGGTTATTTTAGTTTAAGATTCTATTGGGTCATCGTGAAAGTCATGACGCATTTTTGCATTGAAAAACATAGAAAAATACGTCATGACTTTCCTGAAAACCCAATAACACCCAGCCTACGTGACTATAAATAACAAGTCATTTCTTGAGAGTCCAAATCTGTAGTTTTTACAACTTCTCCATAAAGTAACAACATCTTAAGCCACAAATTTAATTCTATAGCCTTAGTCCTTTATACTCCAAACCAAAGAATGTATTCAAATAACCAAGAAGCTACATCGCTTTTTAAGATAGTCCTTTGAACCTAAAATGTACATATTTGTGCCCCAAAGCCCACTCCATCAGAACCATATTGGCTCTAAGAAATTTGTATTACATACTGAAGTTCTGTTACTCGCAAAATAAGAAATAAAATGCAGGTTCTCAACAGATTACTCTCCCTAGATTATCTGAACTACAGAACTCTGGAAAAGGAACACTCATGAATTAGAATTTGTTCCAGACATGAGAGCTGGGGGGCAAGCTTTCAAAAGACAGGTCATTAGGCTGGATTAAGAAAAACAAACTATAGCTATATGCTTCTTACAAGAAACACACCAAAGACAAAGCCAATTAAGAACAGTTAAAAGGGCCAGCCGAGTAGCGCGGTGGTCAAGAGCTGGCTTGGGATGCCAGAGGGCCCCGGTTCAGATCCCACATGAGGGCCAGTGACACTGCCCTCCACAGCTAAGATGCTTAACAACAGCTCAACCTGGAGCTGAGCTGCCGTGAGCCGCCGGCATAGGCTGCAGCCCCTGCTGCAGTGGGTTGTCATGGGCTACCATGTGTAGTCAGCAGCCAGCGTGAGCGGCCAGCAGCCGCCGTGAGCGGCTGTCCAGAAGCCAGCGACTGATCCTTGCCCGGGAAGAGGGCAATGATGGTGCCAACTTGGGCCAGTGAAGCAACGTCCTCCACAACTAGACTGGAGAACAAAAGGACAGCAACTTGTCTGTTCCCCTTTCCCCAATTC